ACCGAATTAACATACCACGGCCACTGAAAAAAAGCATGCTTCCTGCCCCCGTGCAGAGAACACGCGTGAAAGGAGGAGAAACGTAACATAAAACATAAAATTGGTATCCCCCCCTCCCCCCGGCCGGTATGGCTCAGTGGTTGAGCGTCGACTTAGAAACCAAGAAGTCATCATTGGATTCCCAGTCAGGGCACACGCTAGGGGTTGCGGGCTCCATCCTCAGGGTGGGGCGTGCAGGAGGCAGCCGATCCACGACTCTCTCTCATCACGGGTGTCTCTCCATCAATCTCTCTCCCTCATCTCTGCTCTCTGAAATCAATCAAAATATGCCCAGAACGTGAATGCAAGCCATCTCAAAATGTTCAACACCGACACACCCTAAAACCTAATTTAAAAAAAAAAAAAAAAAGGCAGGCAAACAGATGTGACTGGGGCCCTTCAAAAGGTGTCCCAGCCGGCTCACCATGGTGCGTCGGCCGTTCCTAAACTGTCGCCTTATATTTCACCAGCGCAGCTCCTGGGCTGCTCTTTGCTTTCTCATACATTTTAGGGTAGATGAACGTTTGATTTTCTTTCTTTTTCTTTTTTTTTTTTTTTTTACGTGGATGATCTCATCAACGTGCATGGACCCGTGTTATTCTGTAAGCTGAGCCCTGGACAGTGTGCCTCAGTGGATAGAGCGTCAGCCAGTGGGACCGAAGGGTTTCGGGTTCAATTCCGGTCAAGGGCACTTACCTCGGATGCAGGCTCCTGCCTGGCCTGGGCCCTGGTCAGGGCGCATGCAGGAGGCAGCCAATCGATGTGTCTCTCTCACATCGATATTTCTCTGTCTCTCCCCTTTTCTCTAAACATCAATGAAAAAATATCCTCGGGTGAGGATTTAAGAAAAAAAATTAATCTGTACGCGGAGGCCCAGATGTTCCCCACGTTCCCCTCGTTCTTTGTATTTCATTTTTCGAGGATAGGTCTCTTATCACATCGTTAGGAACTTTAGGGCTGAGTTAACCGCTCTGTGGATACATAGATTTACATTGTTGCTCTCCGTCCGAGTCCAGTGTCAAGACAGGAAAGAAAAAAAAAAAAAAGCCCAGATCAAGGCAATAGGAATCCTGGCTGCCTTCTCCCGGCTGCGTGTTCCGATGTGGACTAATTTGCAGATTGTTTGTATTCATTAAAAAAAAAAAGAAGAAGAAAGAATAAAGCCAAGCCTGCCCCTTACAAAGAGGCAGAGGCACGTGGCCGCACCAGGAGGCTTGAAAGGCAGCCAGGATTTTTAAAATACTGGATCGGGATGTTGTTGTGCGTGTGAGAGTGTGTGTGTGTGTGTGTGTGTGTGTGTGTGTGTTAAACACCTGGTTAATTTAATAGAAAAGTGTTTACACTTCATCTTGCTGGCAAGGGGCTCTCCGTGTAGGTGGGGGAGGATTTCCTGTACGTTTTGCAAGCTCCAGGGCAGGCGCCCTTTGCAATAGGTACGTGCCCTTTGTGGTCAGAGGCACCGAGGCCCGTTTCTTCACCTCCTGTTGTTCCCACGTGTGGGAGGCCGCGGCTGGATGCTGCTTCTGGCGGCCTTGCAACTCCGGCCAGCAGGTCAGATGGTGGGATGCATGCAGGTGTGTTGGTGGACGCGATGAAGAAGAGGCTGGCCTTTTTAGGAATTCCGAATAACCCGTGTCTCGGAGCAAGATCCCCTTTTCCCTGTGAACGCACGCTCATGCTCCAGTCGGAATCGCTCTCTCCAAGGACCTCGTGGGGGTGAAACGGATATTTCTCTGAGCATGACCGAGCTGCTTAGGAGCCCCAGGCACTTCCTCTGCTAGGGTGCAGGCATTGCTAAGGATGAGGGTGAGGATGGGAGGGAGGAATGGTGGGCGTGCAATGCTGAGGAGGGGTGGGGAGATGGAAGCAACAGGTTCAACAAGCCTCATGCGGAGCCCCAGGAGGGCTGAGAAGGAGAATCCAGGGAAGAGAAGTGCTTCCCCATGCATGGGGCAGGAGCAAGAGGGCTTGGAGGGAAGCTGAGGCATGATTTTGTGGATGGGGGAGAGGGCGTGCATTTTGGGGTACAGATGCAATTAGTAGGCTTTACCTTCAATGGGGTGGTGTGGGGGACTCGTGTGGCTGGGAGACAGTTTCAGAATTGGAAAACGGAGGGAGGGGGCCATTTTTCAATTTGCAGCCCTATCCAGGGGGATTCGCGTGGGTGGGCCGTTTATTCACTGTTCTAGGGGGAACATCACATTGTGACAGGGCCCTGGGCTCCGAGTTCAGGTGGCCTGAGGGCTGGGCCCAACTCCACCCTTACCCCCACCACCGCCACCGCCACCACCGCCACCCGTGCTGTGCGTGGGGTGAATTTCACAGCCCGGGCTCCCCTAGCCCTTTCGTCTGCTACCAGACGAAGATAAGACAACCCTCGCCAGGATGCCCACTTCTTGGGGCTGCTTTCAGCTCCAGAGGAACGATGATGACACCTCGCTTTCGGAATCCGACTCCTTTGCAAAGATGCCTCTCGCAGCCCGAACTGGGGGCGGGGTGTGGGCCTGAGGTGAGAGGTGAAAAGAAACCGAGAAGCCCAGGTTCTCCCTCTCCTCCCTCCCCCCTCAACACACACACACACACACACACACACACACACGCACGCACGCACGCACGCACGCACACAGCCCTCCCTTCTGCGCGCCCCACTTAGCAAGCGTTTGCACAGAGTCTGGCCCGAGCTGCTGCGATGAACAAACGCTGACTTCAGCCTTTACCCGGGGTTTCAGGTCACTCTGATTGTTTGCAAAACATGTTCTTTTTCTTTTTCTTTCTTTCTTTTTTGTCACTTGCCAGTACTTGTTCTGAGTAAAACGCAAACGCTTCCAGAGAGATGATGTGCAAGCAGGGTCCCCGCCCCGGTCTCGTGCGCCCTCTGCTGGCAATGAAGATGCACTGCAACTCGGGACCGCAGGGGCTCTGCCATGCTGTTCAAGGAGGTTGTGCGAAGAGCTTACTCGTTTGGGGTCCTCGCAGGGTTGGCTCAGTGGTTAGAGGGTCCGCCGGTGGACTGAAGGGTCTACAGGTTTGAGTCAGGTCAAGAGCACGGACCTCGGTTTCCCCGGGCACGTGTGGGAGGCAGCCAATCGATGTGTCTCTTTCTCATTAATGTCTCTCTCTGTGTGTCTCACCCCCTCCCTTCCACTCTCTCTTAAAAAATAAAATGGGGGGAAAAAATATCCTCAGGAGGTCCTGGTTCGATTCCCGGTCAGGACACATGCCCGGGTTTCGGGCTCTATCCCCAGTAGGGGGCATGCAGGAGGCAGGTGATCAATGTTTCTCATCAATGTTTCTAACTCTTATCTCTCTCCCTTCCTCTCTATAAAAAATCAATAAAAAGAATATATATATATATATATATATATATATATATATATACACACGTGTGTGTGTGTGTGTGTGTGTGTATATATATATATATTTTTTAAAGGAGTGTTATTTGTGGCGGCTTACTGGATAGCCTGGATGTATACAGTAGGCACCTAGTAGTAGCATTGATATTAGGTCAATGCCCATAAGGCATGTCATTGTGCACAGATGGGCCCCGGCACCGGTGGGTGTTGGGGTGCAGCCGAAACCACGACGCCAGGGGCCTCGCTTCCCCTTGAAAGGGGGCCCCGGGCCAGCCTTGTTAGGACATGGGCCCCGCGTGGCTGTGTGTACAGTAATGGGGGTGCACGCAGGGCCGGAGCTGGGAGCCGCCGGCGGGCGATAAATATAGCCTCCCCTCCCCATTCCTCCGCCCTGAGTCACGGAGGGACAGTGCGCGCTTCATCAACTTATAAGGAATATACAAACAGTCCCCGATTTAAAATAACTTGGAGTAATTTTTGAGTGTGTGAGACGAGTATTTTTTTTTTTATCCCCTCGGCCTGGCCATGTAAGCCTCTGGGACAGGCGAGGGGGCATCTGTATGTGGCTGTGCCTGGCGGTCACAACAGCAGAATCTATGGGGATCTTTCTGCTCTCTCCCCCCCCCCCCTTCCTCCTCCTCCTCTTGAGAAATACTACAGAATAATAACAACGATAATGAAATGTTAAAGGCAGGATGAGGGGATGTGGGGTGTGTGAGAGACACCTGTGTGTCCCTGTCGAATGCCTGGACACAGGTCACGCTCATCACACTTCCCTAGAGCAGGCGGGTCTTACCCGGGTCGGGCAAGTGTCTCCCCTCCTTTTCCTTAATTTTTTTTCTCCCCTGAAATCTCGTCTAGCCCAGCCCAGGTGGCTCAGTGATTGAGCATCGATCTAGAAACCAGGAGGTCACGGGTTCCATTCCCCTTTGGGGCACATGCCTGGGTTGCAGGCTTGATCCCCAGTAGGGGGCGTGCAGGAGACAGCCGATCCATGATTCTCTCTCCTCATGGATGTTTCTCTCTGTATCTCCTTCTCCCTTCCTCTCTGATATCAATAAAAAATGTTTTTAATAATAAAACAAAAATCTTTTTAAAAAGTTATACGCCGAAACCAGTTTGGCTCAGTGGATAGAGCGTCGGTCTGCGGACTGAAAGGTCCCAGGTTCGATTCCGGTTAAGGGCATGTGCCTTGGTTGCGGGCACATCCCCAAGTGGGGGGTGTGCAGGAGGCAGCTGGTCGATGTTCCTCTCTCATTGATGTTTCTAGCTCTCTATCCCTCTCCCTTCTTCTCTGTAAAAAAATCAATAAAATATATATATATTTTAAAAAGTTATAACTGCCCTAACTGGTGTAGCTCAGTGGATAGAGCGTCAGCCTGCAGACTGAAGGGTCCCAGGTTCGATTCCCGTCAAGGGCATGGACCTTGGTTGCGGGCACATCCCCGGTGAGGGGTGTGCAGGAGGCAGCTGGTGGATGTTTCTCCCTCATCCCTCTCCCTTCTTCTCTGTAATAGAAATCAATAAAGTATATGTTTTTATATAAAAAAAAATCTATTTTAAAAATAGAAACGAAGCGTGCTCACCCCGCGCCCTCTGCCCCCACAGCCTGCCCGAGCGCGTGCGGGAAGCGGGCGTGCACGGACAACCACGAGTGCTGCCACGAGGAGTGCCTGGGCGGCTGCACGGCCCCGGACGACCAGGCGGCCTGCGTGGCCTGCAAGCACTACTACCACGAGGGCGTGTGCGTGGCCGAGTGCCCGCCGGACACCTACCGCTTCGAGGGCTGGCGCTGCGTGGATCGCGAGTTCTGCGCCAACATCCCCCTGGGCGATGAGGAGGATCTGGAGGAAGGCTTCGAGCTGGAGGGCTTCGTCCTGCACGACGGGGAGTGCATGCAGGAGTGCCCGTCCGGCTTCATCCGCAACGACAGCCTGAGGTCAGGCCCCCCCAGACCCTGTCCTGCGGGGAGGGGGTGCGGGGAGGGAGCGGACCTGCATTACATTGTTGCAGAGAGACTGAAACAGTAGCAGCAGCCACACGGCGGTGGTGAGAGTGTAGCCGCCGGAAGGGGGATGCGATGCGGGTCTTGGCGGGTTTTCTGAGGGGTGGGGACGCGCGGGGGCTGACATCCGCCTCGGGGCGGGGCTCCCCCTCTCTCTGCCCCCGCAGCATGTTCTGCGTCCCCTGCGAAGGGCCGTGCCCCAAGATCTGCGAGGAGTACAAGGGCACCAAGACCATCGACTCGGTGACCTCGGCTCAGATGCTCCAGGGCTGCACCATCTTCAAGGGCAACCTGCTCATCAACATCCGCAGGGGCAGTGAGTATCCCTCCGCCCTCCTCCCTCACTCCCTGCCCGCTCCGCCCTCCTTCTGCAGGGTCTCTGGGTTCTCTTGGGGTGGTGGGGCCTTGGCTACCCGTCCCTGGCTCACAACCGGCCTAGAAAAACAGCCCAGCGCCCAGCCCGCTGGCTCAGAGGTGCAGCATCCGATCCACGAGCCAGGAGGTCCCGGTTCCATTCACCATCAGGGCGCGGGTCCTGTTGTGCACTCGATTCCCCACTAGGGGGCGCGCAGGAGGCAGCCAGTCCACGATTCTCTCTCATCATGGATGTTTCTCTCTTTCTCCTTCTCCCTTCCTGTCTGAAATGGATAAAAATAGGTGTTTTGTGGGTGTTTTATTTTTATTTATTTATTTATTATGTATTTATTTATTACTATTATTATTTTTAATAAAACAAAAGCTGCTCTCCAGATAGCTAACTGGCGGTCTGGCGTTTATGATTTGACTGTTTTTTCTTTTCCTCTGCCTGGGAGCTATCCCGTCCAGCCTCCGAGAAAGACACCCTTCGCTGCCCTGAGGGAGTGGGGGGGCTGTTCCGGGAAAGGGGGTTATTTGGACAAGGGAAGGGGCTCCCCACCAGCCTCCTGAGCATCTCAGAGTCGCCCCCAGAGCAGGCCTGAGCGGGAGCGGGGTAACACGGTTCCACACCCCCCCAACCCCCCTTCCCGCAGATAACATCGCCTCGGAACTGGAGAACTTCATGGGGCTCATCGAGGTGGTTACAGGCTACATCAAGATCCGCCACTCCCACGCACTGGTCTCCCTGTCCTTCTTCAAAAGCCTCCGCCAGGTCCTGGGAGAGGAACAGCTGGAGGGGTGAGTGCTGCCTGCGCCCGCCCGCCCGCAGCCCGGGGTCGGCTGTGCGCCTGGAGGGTTCTGTGTTCCGGGGGGTGGGGGTGAGAGACCCCCTCTCGTCAAGAAGAAAGGAGCCCCGGCCAGTGTTGCTCAGTGGTTAGAGAGTTGGCTTATGACCCAGGGTTCGATTCCCTGTCAGGGCACATGCCCGGGTTGCAGGCTCCATCCCCAGGGCGGGGGGGGAGGGAGAAGGGGGGCATGCAGGAGGCAGCCAGTCCATGATTCTCTCTCATCGTGGATGTTTCTCTCTCTCTCCCTCTCCCTCCTTTCCTCTCTGAAATCAATAAACGTGGTTTTTTTTTTTAAAAAAAAAATACAGTCTTTGGATGTAAGGGCCTCGAGCCTCAGAGACAGCGAGGAAGGCGCGCCTACTGGGTGGCTCAGTGGATAGTCACTTCCTCCGGGGCACAATGGGGGGGGGGGGTGGCGGACAAAAAAAAACCTCTTGTGTCGGCAGGAACTACTCCTTCTACGTCCTGGACAACCAGAACCTGCAGCAGCTGTGGGACTGGGACACCCACAACCTGACCCTCAAGTCCGGCAAGATGTACTTCGCCTTCAACCCCAAGCTGTGCGTGTCCGAGATCTACCGCATGGAGGAGATGACCGGGGCCCGGGGGCGCCAGGGCAAGGGCGACATCAACACCCGCAACAACGGCGACAGGGCCTCCTGTGAGTGGGCGCCCGCGCGTGTGTGTGTGCACGTGATACACGTGTGTGCACGTGTGTTGGAGATATGCAGATGAATCTGTGTTTATTGCTTCTTCAGGCCCTTTTTGATTAGCCCCTAATCCAGTGTTTCCCAAACTTTTTGACATAGGGGTACCCCTTCTATAATTTTCCTAACGCTGAGGACCCCTCGTCCTCATGAGAAGGTAGAATGAGGCGCAGCTAAGCACGGTGCAGTGCCTGTCCCCACCAAACTCCGGTGCAACACGTACCCCCCACCAGACTCTTCCCCCCGTACCCCTGGGGGTCCGCGGACCACACTTTGGGAAACATGTTTTGAGTCAAAACGCGGTGGGCCCCGCTGGGTAATAAAGGGACACCTTTTCCAATCGAGACCATCCGTGTGTGTGTGTGTGTGTGTGTGTGTGTGTGTGTGTGTCTCCCCCTCCTCGTTCCACCTGTGGGGACACGGGGTTTCCTTCAGGAGCCCTTGCGAGCTCCATGGGGTGAAACCCGTATTTGGGTCCTTGGTTAGAAGTAAGAAAGCTATTGAGACGTCCAGACGGAGTTGTGTGTGTGTGTGTGTGTGTACACGTACGTGTGTGTGTGTGGTGTCCGTGTCCACGCTGCCTCCTCGGGCCCCGTCCCCGCTGTCACGTGACGCCTGTCGCTGCCCGTGACGGCAGCCAATGAGCAGGCAGCTTTGGAGCCCAGGGGCGCGGGGCGGGGGACCCCTCAGGCACGAGGAGGAGAAGGCGGCGGGTGTCCCCCTCACGGCTGTGCCCCGCGCCCCCCAGGTGAGAGCGACCTGCTGCACTTCACCTCCACCAACACCTGGAAGAACCGCATCATCGTCACGTGGCACCGGTACCGCCCCCCAGACTACAGGGACCTCATCAGCTTCACCGTCTACTACAAGGAGGCGTGAGTCCCGGGCCGAGGCCTGTGGGGGGAGAGGGAGGGGGTCCATGCGTCCTCCGCTGTCACACGAGGTCTCCCACTGGCTTCAGGGGGTGGAGGCATCTGAATAAAACCAAGTACAAAGGAGCCCGGCCGGTGTGGCTCAGTGGGTGGGCCTTGAACTCTGAACCAGGAGGTCACAGTTCAATTCCCAGTCAAGGGCACATGATGGGGTGGCAGGCTTGATCCCCAGGAAGGCGGGGGGGGGGGGGGGCATGCAAGAGGCAGCCGGTCCATGGTTCTCTCTCCTCATGGATGTTTCTCTCTTCCTCTCCCTCTCTGAAGTCAATACTAATGTATTTTTTTCTTTAAGAAAGGGGTTGATTTTGATAATAATAAGATGAGACGAACAGGGAGATAAACATGAAGAAGGGAAGAGAGCGGGAGGGAGCCCTGGGGGCCGGGGTGGGAGCTGGGGGCTGGCTCTAAGCGCCGGGTTGGTCGCCCCCGCAGGCCCTACCAGAACGTGACCGAGTACGACGGCCAGGACGCCTGCGGCTCCAACAGCTGGAACATGGTGGACGTGGACCTGCCCGCCAACAAGGACATGGAGCCCGGCATCCTCCTGCACGGCCTCAAGCCCTGGACGCAGTACGCCATCTACGTGAAGGCCGTGACCCTGACCGTGGTGGAGAGCGACCACATCCGTGGGGCCAAGAGCGACATCCTGTACCTCCGCACCAACGCCTCAGGTACCCCAACGCCTCAGGTACCCCAACGCCTCAGGTACCCCAGCGCCTCAGGTGCCCCAACGCCTCAGGTGCCCCAACGCCCCAGGTGCCCCAGCACCTCAGGTGCCCGTGCGGCCAGCCGGTGTCAGTGCTCTGGAACCCGCTCTCCTCTCCCTCTCTCCCTCTCTCTGTTCCTCTGTCCCTCTCCCTCCTTCCTTCCCTCCTTCTCCCTCCCTTCTTCCCTCCCTCCTCTTTCCTTCTCTCCCTCTCTTCTTTTCCCTCTCTTCTTCCCTCCCACTCTCTCTCCCTCTCCCTCTCTCCTTTTCTCCCTCTCTATCCCTCTCTTCCTCCTCCCTCCCTCCCTCCCTCCCTCCCTCCCTCCCTCCCTCCCTCCTTCCTTTCCTCTATCTCTCTTTTCCTCTCTCTCTCCTCTCTTCTGTCTCTCCCTCCCTCTGTCTCTCCTTCTCTTCTTTCTCTCTCTCTCTCTTCCTCTCTCTCTCCTCCTCACCCTCTCTGTCCCTCTCCCTCCCTCTCTTCTTCCCTCCTCCCCATCCTCCCTCCGTCTCTTTCTCCCTCTCCTTCTAGCCCCGTTCACTTCCCCTGTTCACCTGGGTTCTTGCCATTCGAACCCGGGATTCCAAAATCTCAGCTGAGACGCGGGTATCGCTCCACCCCGGGGTCCTACACACACACACTCACACACACACACACACACACACACACACACCTTGTCCGACCGCAGCTCAGTGGCGTGTGCCCTCCGGGGCCCTCCCTGTGCCTCTCGGCGCTGCCCTCCCCCCGCCGGGCTGGTTGCGGGCTCCGGGTGGTTTGCACGGAGGCCGAGGGCCCGGATCTCGGGTCCCGGTCCATCGACCCGTCTCCCGAAACGCCCACCGTCCTCCTTCCAGTGCCTTCCATCCCTCTGGACGTCATCTCGGCCTCCAACTCGTCCTCCCAGCTGATCGTCAAGTGGAACCCGCCCTCGCTGCCCAACGGGAACCTGAGCTACTACATCGTGCGCTGGCAGCAGCAGCCGCAGGACGCCTACCTGTACCAGCACAACTACTGCTCCAAAGGCAGGGCGCGGGGACTGGGGGAGGGGGCGGGGGGGGGGCGCCCCTGCCTGCCCGAGTCCCAGCCCCGGGCCGCGGTCCCGCCCTGACCTCCCAGCGGGGTGACCAGGCCCCCTGCGCCCCCTTTCCCGAGCAGACAAGCTCCCCGTGCGGAAGTACACGGAAGGCACCTTCGACATTGAGGAAGAGCTGTCGGAGAACCGCAAGTCCGAGTCCTGCAAACCCCCCAAGGGGCCCTGCTGCGCCTGCCCCAAAACCGAGGCCGAGAAGCAGCTGGAGAAGGAGGAGGCCGAGTACCGCAAGGTCTTCGAGAACTTCCTGCACAACTCCATCTTCGTGCCCCGGTGCGTCTCCCCGACACCCTGTCCCTGCGTGCCCCCCCCCCCACTCCATCCTGCCCCGCCCCGGGCCTGTGGCTCCTCCTTCCACCTCTAGTTGGGGGGTCCAGGACCTCGGGGCGGCACCCAGTCACCATCAAGGAGGGACAAGCACCCGGCCAGTGTGGCTCAGTGGTTGAGCCTCGACCTATGAACCAGGAGGTCACGGTTTGATTCCGGGTCAGGGCACAGGCCCCGGTTGCGGGCTTGATCCCCAGTAGGGGGCGTGCAGGAAGCAGCTGATCCATGATTCCCTCTCATCATTGATGTTTCTCTCTCTCCCTCTCCCTTCCTCTCTGAAATCAATAAAAATTTTAAAAAAAGATGCATTTGAAAAATAAAAATGAAAAAAAAAATGGTAAGGAAGGAAATCCCTGGACTATTGCTTGGCTCTTAGCCAGGAGGGCTGCCTAGCTCCTTTCATTCCTGGGTTAAGATTTTGCTTTTCTTGAGGGGGGGGGGGTAAAATTATGAGGTATCATTGCATCTTTTAATGAATAAATAACTAAATTAATTAATAACATAAATACAACAAGAACAAAAAGATTTTGCTTTTCTAAAAAAAAAAAGAGAGAGAGAGAGAATGGGAAAAGATACATTAGGAGGCATCATTCCACCTTTTAATGGACGTATTAGCTAACTTAATAAAAATAATAATATAAGTATAATAAAGGGGAGGGAAAAAAAGTTTTTGCTTTTCTCTCGGCGACTCCACCCCGAGGCAGAGACGAGGCAAGAGCGGTGGGGGCCGTGCGAGCCCGGGGTGTGTGTGTGTGTGTGTGTGTGTGTCGCCCCCGCAGGCCCGACAGGAAGCGCCGGGACCTGGGGCAGGTCTCCAACACCACCCTCTCCGGCCGGGGCCGCAACAGCACGGTGACCGACCCCTTCAACTCCACCGAGTGGGTCGTGGAGGACGACACAGGCTGGGAGCACCCCTTCTTCGAGAGCCGCGTGGACAAGAAGGAGCGGACCGTCATCTCCAACCTGAAGCCCTTCACCCTCTACCGCGTCGACATCCACAGCTGCAACCACGAGGCCGACACGCTGGGCTGCAGCGCCTCCAACTTCGTCTTCGCCCGGACCATGCCTGCAGGTACGGCGCGATCCAGCCGTCCCCGCCCCGCCTCCCCGCTTCTTAAAGAATGGGCTCCCCCCCCCCCCCCAAAAAAAAAAGCCGAAACCGGTGTGGCTCAGTGGTAGAGCATCCGTCTGCGGACTGAAGGGTCCCGGGTTCGATTCCGGTCAAGGGCATGGACCTTGGTTGCGGGCACATCCCCGGTGGGGGGTGTGCAGGAGGCAGCCGGTCGATGTTTCTCTCTCATGGACGTTTCTGGCTCTCTATCCATCTCTCCTCCTTTGTAAAAAATCAATTAAAAAAAAAAAAAAAAAAAAGAATGGGGGCCCCCCTGGCTGGCCAGCATGGGGCTCAGTGGTGGAGCGTCAGCCTAGGAACCAGGAGGTCACGGTTCGATTCCCGGTCGGGCCACATGCACAGGGTGTGGGCTGGATCCCCAGTAGGGGGCGTGCAGGAGGCAGCTGATCCGTGATTCTCTCTCATCATGGACGTTTCTCTTCCTCTCCCTTCCTCTCTGAAATAAATAAAAACATATTTATAAAAAGAAATAAGTAAAAAAGTGGGTGCTCACCTGTGGGCAGACTCCTCCTGGCGCCATCACTCCCACCCCAGAATCTCCACACAGAGTACAAAAGGGAACAGAAGTCGCTTCAAAGTCACTCCTCCTCCTCCTCCCCCTCCTCCTCCTCCTCTTCCTCCTCTTCCTCCTCCTCCTCCATCTGGGTTCCCGGTGTGCATTCCCCTGGCCTTTCCCCATCTGTGCCAGGCCCCTCCTGAGTCCTCGCAGCTCCAGGGAAGTCCCCAGTAGCTGCCTGGACTTTGAGTGACCTTGACTCCCCAAGGTCATCCCCTGGAGCCGCCATTGATCCTGCTTGTTGGGTCTTCTCCATCCCCCTGTGGGTCAGAGGCTGCCTGTCACTCACACAGACGCCCGCCCATCTTTAAGGGCGGATGCGGCCCTGGCCGGTGTGGCTCTGTGGATAGCGTGTCAGCTGAAGGGAATCCCAGTTGGATTCCCAGTAGTGGGTGCGCAGGAGGCAGCCGATCCATGGTTCTCTCTCCTCATGGATGTTTCTATCTCTCTCTCCCTCTCTCTCTTCCTCTGTGAAACCAATCAAAATAAAACGTTGAAAGGCTGGATGGCAGCAGGGGCTGGCAGAGGCTGGCCTGCAGGGGCTCATGGGTCATCAAATGTCTCCGCCCCCCAAGGCCTGCACGGTGTGCGAGCACCCAGCTCACGGGGACCATGGGGCCGCCGACCTCAGCCCTGGGCCTGAGGAGGGCGCTCGTGGGTGAGCCCAGGGTGGGCATCCCTCCCGGGGGACCGCGCCCGGAGTGACGGCTCGCCCCCCTCGTTGTCGCACACAGAGGGAGCGGATGACATTCCTGGACCCATCACCTGGGAGCAGAAGGCTGACTCCGTCATCTTAATGTGGCCGGAGCCCGAGAACCCCAACGGGCTGATCCTCATGTATGAGGTCAAATACGGGTCCCAGGAGGAGGTGAGACGGGGCGGGGGGGCCGTGTCTGGGTGGGGGGTCTCCTTCGTGGGATAACCGTTGGTTACAGCGCAGTACCGGCCCCTGCTGCTTCGCTTGACTTTAAACAATAAAATAAGGACTAAGCCCGACTGGCGTGGCTCCGTGGTTGGGAGTCAACCTGTGAACCAGGAGGTCCCGGTTCGATTCCCGGTCAGGGCACAAGCCTGGGTTGTGGGCTCCATCCCCAGTAGGGGGCGTGCAGGAGGCAGCCGATCCATGATTCTCATCATGGATATTTCTGTCTCTCTTCCCCTTTTCCCTTCCTCGGTGATATCAATAGAAATGTACACTGAGTGGCCAGATTATTATGATCTCAATGCTTAATAATCTGGCCACTATGTGTGTGTGTATATGTGTGTGTGTGTGTGTGTGTGTGTGTGTGTGTTAGAGGCCCAGTGCATGAATTCGTGCATGGGTGGGGTCCGGCCAGCCTGGCCAGGGGGAGGGGACACGGGCGGTTGGCCAGCCTTCCTGCTGATCGAACTCCTGGTCGAGGGAACAGTTTGCCTATTAGCCTTTTATTCTATAGGTTATGCACCGAGTGGCCAGATGATTATGCAGTCAGAGTTCTTCATCATCCGGCCTCTCCGTGTATTTAAAAGCAAAAACACTCGGGAGCCTCCTAAGGCTTGCTTTCCTTCCTTCTATTGCACATCGGGATCCCGGGCCAGTGGGAGGGAGAGGCCAGGCCACGGGAGTCCCCTCGTTCCTCGCGTGTCTGTGGGAAGTCCGCCTATATCCGTCCCCTGACCCCCACAGGACCAGCGGGAGTGCGTGTCCCGGCAGGACTATCAGAAGTACGGAGGGGCCAAGCTACAGAAGCTCACCCCGGGGAACTACACGGCCCGCATCCAGGCCACCTCCCTGTCCGGGAATGGGTCCTGGACTGAGCCCATCTTCTTCTTTGTCCAGGACAAAGGTGAGTCTGGGGGAGCCGCCAGGCAGCGAGAGACGTGGGCCGGGACCGGGGAAGCCCGGGTTATCCTGGATCCTCCGTGTTGTGTCCTGGGAGGAGCCGGGAGCAGGGAGGAGCCAGGGCTGCAAGGAGCTCAGGGCTCTCAGACGCCTCACTGGACTGTCGTGTCTGGAGAGGATTCAGAGCTACCGTGTTTCCCCGAAAATAAGACATCCTCTGAAAATAAGACCTAGCGTGTGGAAAGATAAAGACATCCCCTGAAAATAAGACCTAGCGCCACTTTGGGAGAAAAAATTAATATAAGACACTGTCTTATTTTCGGGGAAACAGGGTCCTTGGGCAAAGGGTGCCATGCAGCTATATTGTGTGTGTCTATGTGTGTTGCGTGGGTGTGTGTTTTATCTTTTTACTGATTTCAGAGAGGAAGGGAGGGGGGGGAGAGAGAGAGAGAGAGAGAAATATCCATGAGGAGAGAGAATCCTGGATCGGCTGCCTCCTGCACACCCCACACTGGGGACGGAGCGCCCTGACCGGGAATCGAACCCTCACCTCCTGGTTCCTAGGTTGATGCTCAGCCATGGAGCCACACCGGCCGGGCTGTGTATGTGTGTTTGTTGTTTTAATTGTCTGTGGCACTGAGTTAAGACAGATGAAAAGGCCAGCACGGCGCAAGCGAGCGCTGGATCCGTAAGACTCTGTCTGCGTTTGATTTCAGCCAAAGAGTGCATTTCCCTTTACAGTCATTCAGCTGCAGATAAAGGCCGCCCATCATTTGAACTAGGACGGCAGAGGACACTGTACTTTAAAAAGAAAAATGGGCTCCAGGCAGGCATGGCTCGGTGGTTGAGCATTGACCTATGACCCAGGAGGTCATGGTTCCATTCCCAGTCAGGGCACATGCCCGGGGCTGTGGGCTCCATCCCCAGCAGGGGGTGTGCGGGAGGCAGCTGCGCCATGACACTCTCTCATCATGGATGTTTCTCTCCGTCTCTCCCTCTCTCTTCCACTCTCTCTAAAAATCAAAGGAAAGATATCCTCAGAGGAGAATTAACAAAAAAAAACAAACAAAAAAATGATTGACCCTGACTGGTTTAGCTCAGTGGATAGAGCATCGGCCCGCGGACTGAATGGTCCCCAGGTTGGATTCCGGTCAAGGGCGCGTACTTTGGTTGCGGGCACATCCCCAGTAGGTGGTGTGCAGGAGGCAGCTGATCGATGTTTCTAACTCTGAAAAAAAATCAATAAAATATATATATATTTTTTAAAAACGAATGAATGAATGAATGAATGAATGGAATAGCCTGAGTACCTTATGACCTTTGACCCTTACCCCTTGCGTTCCCGCACCAGCCTTGGACAACCACGCCCACCTGGTCATCGCCCTGCCCATCGCCATCGTGCTGATCGTCTTCGCGCTGGCCGTCACGCTGTACGTCATCCACCGGAAGCGGTGAGTGGCTGGGTGACGGGGAGACGCTCGGGGGTGTGTGTGGGAGGGGGTAGGGGGCTGCAGCGTGTGAATTAAGGTCAGCTTTTTGAGGAAACAGTTCAGGGCTCGGAAAGCCTGATTTTCCAATCCGACGTGCTTCCTGGGAACAAGGACGTTTTGTTGTTTGTTGGGTGGTTTGTTTGTTGTTTTTGCCTAACGCGTCCCCCCTTTATGGCCGACGCAGCAATCGCATGGGGAACGGAGTGCTGTACGCGTCTGTGAACCCGGAATATTTCAGCGCGGCCGACGGTAAGCTCGGCTCCCTGCGTGGGGGCACCGGGTCAGGTCACTTTGGGGTGCGGGGGTGTGGGGGGGCTGGGAGGGATGGCTCATTTAGGGGGGGAAGAGGTCTGCATTATTTGCAGGTACTCTGTTTCTGGTAACACTTTTTTTTTTTTTTTTAAGTCAGAGTTCTTAGCAGTTCACTCAGTATCTCAAAAATCCCGCACTGCCCGGGCTGGTGTAGCTCAGTGGTTAGCATCAGCCCGTGCAATCTTTCTTCATTCTTTCTTGCTCTTTGTCTTTGAAATCCACGGTGGTGAACTTTAGACTTCACAGCATGTCTCCACGTGGACTACTTTCTGGGTCTTACTTTTCATTATTTTTTAAATGTTTATTGTGGCGAGCATGACCGATGTCCTCTTTGATTTTTTCGGTGTGTGGTTTTTTTTCTCATCGACTGTCCCGTCACCCCCACCCCCACCCCCTCCCTGCCTCCATCCCTCACATGTAGTTCTTCCTATATATGCTGTTAGTATCCTCAAATTTTCTGGGACCCCTTGAGGATTTGAAAGACCAGAATCGGAGGGCACGTTTGCCTCCTGGAATCCTCAGCACGTGGGACATGTGGGGACAAGCCACGGCGCTGCCCCCCCCCCCCGCCACGTCCTCCTCGGCTGGCTTTGGGAGGTGGCATGGCGCCGCCTTCTCCCCCCAAAAAACACGTCCTGCCCAGGTGCCCGCGGCGGCGCCCCCATCGGCTCCCCTTTTCCGCTCCCTCAGTGTACGTGCCCGACGAGTGGGAGGTGGCCCGGGATAAGATCACCATGAACCGGGAGCTGGGCCAGGGCTCCTTCGGCATGGTGTACGAGGGCGTGGCCAAAGGCGTGGTCAAGGACGAGCCAGAGACCAGGGTGGCCATCAAGACGGTCAACGAGGCGGCCACCATGCGGGAGCGGATCGAGTTCCTCAACGAGGCCTCGGTGATGAAGGAGTTCAACTGTCACCACGTGGTGAGAGAAGGCGGATCCCGGCATGGGGGCAGAGGCCACGGGGGCAGAGGCCACGGGGGCGGAGGCCACGGGAGCGGAGGCCACGGGGAGGCCACGGGATGACATGCCACGGGAGGGAGGCCACGGGGGGGAGGCCACGCCGGTGGGTTTGGCGACTTGCGCCCCCCCTACCCAGCCCCTCGTCGCCTCACTGCTGCCCCCAGACGCCTGTGCACACAGGAGACTCTGGGTGTGACAGGCTGTGGCCGGGACTGATGCTGTCCGTGTCCAGATGGCCCTTTTGGCAGGAACAAGGTTCCCCACCCCTGACACGTGGCGGGGCGGCCTCCCTTTGGGGGGTTCCTGAACACACACGTGGCCCGTGCATCGGGGGGGTGGAGGAGGAGCACCGACCCCAGGGGTACCCTGCTTCTCTGAGTCCTCCTCTCTGTCTCTCTCTCTCTCTCTCTCTCTCTCCCCCCCCCCACCTCCCAGGTGCGTCTGCTGGGCGTGGTGTCCCAGGGCCAGCCCACCCTGGTCATCATGGAGCTCATGCCCCGGGGCGACCTCAAGAGTTACCTCCGGTCTCTGCGCCCGGAAATCGAGGTGGGTTTTGGTTTTGATTGACTGTTTTTAATTTATATGTTTTTTGTTGTTGTTGTTGTTGTTTAACCCTCACCCAAGGATGTTTTTCCCATTGATTTTTAGAGAGAGTGAGGTGAGGGGGGGGGGTGGAGGAGAGACAGAGAAAAACATCGATTGGTTGCCTCCCCCGTGCTCCCAACCAGGGCTGGGAGCCTGCAACCTAGGTGTGTGCCCTAGACGGGAATCGAACCCAGGACCCTTTCGTCCGCAGCCTGACGCTCTAACCACTGAGCAACACCGGCTAGGGTTGGGTTTTGGGGTTTTGATTGACGTCACATGTTTTACGTTCACTCCTTTCAGTGTTTTTGAATCTGACTGCATTGAATGCTCGGTCGTAGATCCTTGCTGGGGCCATTCCCAGAGACCATGTCAGTCCTGAGCCCTCCCTGAAGCCTGGCCTGCCCCAACTGCATGCCCCCATCCCCCCCACCCCCCGACTCCCCTCCCACACATAGGCCCCCTCCCTGCCCCGACAGCAGCCTGTGCCCTTGGCCCCAGGCAGCTGAACTTGTCACGCCCCGCGCCCGACGTCCAGGCTCTGTCCTGTGCTTTGCAGTGAGTGAGAACCTTGCACGCTTTTAGCTCCGTCTAGTAAAAAAAAATAAAAAGTCCGTCTGTTTTGAGCTTCAAATCCTTTTTGTAAAATATTTTTAATTGATTTTTTTTTTATTTATTTTTTTTTTTAGGGAGAGAGAGAAGGAGAGCCAACACACACCATCCCGACCAGAGAGAAACATCGTCCACTCACTGCCTCCTTGATTGGCTGCCTCCTGCGCGCTCCCAACCGGAGACCGAGACCAAGACCGAGCCCGAGCCCAAGCCCACCACCCCGGGTACGTGCCCTGGCGGGGAGTCTTTACTGCTTGGGTCGATTGCGCCACCCATTGAGCCACACCGGCCAGGCGCACAGGTTCCTCCTGAACCAGGCCTGGTCCCCGAGCGGGATAGACCGCCGTGTGGCTCAGACGGAGCAAAGAGGAGGGGGGGGCGGGGGGGCGGGTATGCACACCTCGAAACACGCGCGCCTGGATGCTGACGTGTGTTGTTGTTTGTTTTTGTGTGTGTGTGTCTCCCGCAGCCCCTCCCCGTCCTCTCGCCGCCGACCCTCAGCAAGATGATCCAGATGGCCGGGGAGATCGCGGACGGCATGGCGTACCTCAACGCCAACAAGTTCGTCCACAGGGACCTCGCTGCCCGCAACTGCATGGTGGCTGAGGATCTGACCGTCAAGATCGGAGGCGAGTCCTTGGCTGCCGAGACCTGAGCCAGGGGCTCGACTTGCATGTGGTTTTAGGGGGCGTGTCGGGGTGCTCCCTCTCCCCCTCCCCCCACGGGGAGGTTTTCCCCGTGCACCTTGTGGGCGCAGAGGCTTGCTCTCGGGAGTAATGTCACCATCTCCGGGGACAGCCAAGCACAGCCACTCCCGGGTTCTGCCGATGATGGGATGGCAGACACCGCCACGCGGCCCCTTTAAGAGGCGGGGCCGCCTGGCAGCGGGGATGTCCTCTCTGTGCTGGTCCCCTGAGTGTCCTCTCCTCCTGCCTCGTCCCCGCAGATTTCGGCATGACCCGCGATATCTACGAGACAGACTATTACCGGAAGGGCGGGAAGGGCCTGCTGCCTGTGCGCTGGATGTCCCCCGAGTCCCTCAAGGACGGCGTGTTCACCACCCACTCTGATGTCTGGTAGGCGGGACTGACCCCGGAGACAACCCCTCTCCCCCCCAACCCCCCCCCCCCCCGGCCTCCACTCATCCCCCCCATCCCGACCCACACTCCCCCGCTTTGGCTCAGCAGAGAGCGTCCGGGCTGGAGGTTCCCTAGCTGGGAGCCCGTCAGGCGGCTTGATGGTCCCAGGCCACGTGTGAGGCCACGTGTGAGGCCACGGAGACTGCCCTGCCCCAACTCACTCGCCTGGGGGAAGGGGGGGTATGGTTCAAGTTCAAGGGTCCCCTGAATCTCCCTGCCCTTCAGCATCCAGGGCCGCACTGATGGGCAGGAGATGGAGACGTGGCGACTCAAATGAGGACCCTGTAGCTCGGAGCCGTGCTCCCTGGCCGCCCAGCGGGCAGTCCCCAGGGCAGAGGGGAGGGGGGAGGAGCTTTGGGAAGGGGCAGGCTCGTGGTCTGTGCGCCCCCTCAAGGCCTCACGCCTGCCCCTCTCCTCCCTGCAGGTCCTTCGGCGTTGTGCTCTGGGAGATCGCCACGCTGGCCGAGCAGCCCTACCAGGGCCTGTCCAACGAGCAAGTCCTGCGCTTCGTCATGGAGGGCGGCCTGCTGGACAAGCCCGACAACTGCCCGGACATGCTGTACGTGGCTCCCGGGCCCCCGCGGCGGGCGCTGGGGGCGGTGGGTGGGGACAAGGCCCGTCCTGCGGGAGGACCTGCGCCTTCCCCTCACCCCCATCGTGGCGTCTTCGACTGACATCTCTGTGAAACGTTACCCGGATGCCTCCTGTGCCCGCCGTCTCCCCGCAGGAGTGGGTGGTTCGTACCGAATAGGGCAGCACGGCACTGGTGACTTTTCTTTTTTAAAAAAATGGATTGATTTCAGAGAGGAAGGAAGAGGGAGAGAGAGAGAGAGAGAGAGAGTGCAATGATGACAGAGAATCATGGATCGGCTGCCTCCTGCACGCCCCCTACTGGGGAATCGAGCCCGCAACCCGGGCCTGTGCCCTGACGGGGAATCGAAACCGGGACCCTTCGGTTCCGCAGGCCGACGCTCGCTATCCACTGAGCCACACCAGCCAGGGCTGCACTGCTGTGCGCCTTGGCTGTGACCGTCACCTTAGGCACGCAGTGGGATGGGGAAACGGAGGCACGCGGGGTGCAGGCCGCAGCGGGCAGGGCTGTGGTCCCCCGGCCCCCTGGGCCCCTGTGTCCGAACGAGCAGCTTATCTCGGGACAGCAGCTTCGTTTAGTCTTGTCCCTGACCCCACCAGATGCGTTCTCTATCAGCTCGTAAATCCTCCTGGGATCCGCTGCAGTGTTGCTCAGTGGCTAGAGCGTCCGTCGGCGGACGGACGGAAGGGTCCCAGGTTCGATTCCGGTCAAGGGCACGTACCTTGATTGCGGGCGCGATCCAGGGCTCATCAGCTGGCCACCACGGCCCGTGTTTCCGGCAAACAGGCCAGACGGTGTCTATTCCAGCCACTCGGCTCCCAGCAGGAGCTCAAGAGCAGCCGTAGACACTGTAAACAAACGAGCCTGTTCCTGTTGCCACCCAACTTGATTTATTAAAACAGGCGGCGGGGTCACGGCCTCTCCTGTCTGACCTCCCCGATCCCATCCTCCCCGAGCCTTGCGAGGCAGCTGGCCTGGCGGGCCTGGGAGCTGTCTCTTTGCAGGCCAGGGTCCACGCCCCACCGCTTCTCTCCCAGGGGCCACAAGGTGGTCTGTTGGTCAAGTGGTCACCCTGACAGATGGCGGGAAGCCATTTCGGGGTGCTTGGATCTTCCTATGTATGAGGAGCTCCAGTTGGCCTTTTTAAAAATATATATATTTTTTTTATTGATTTCGGAGAGGAAGGGAGAGAGAGAAACATCAGTGATGAGAGAGAATCATAGATGGGCTGCCTCCTGCACGCCCCCTATTGGGGATGGAGCCTGCAACGCAGGCATGTGCCCTTGGCCGGAATGGAACAGTGACCTCCTGGTTCATAGGTTGATGGTTCGATTCCGGTCAAGGGCATGTACCTTGGTTGCAGGCATATCCCCAGTAGGGGGTGTGCAAGAGTCAGCTGATCCATGATTCTTTCTCATCCACGTTTCTAACTCTCTATCCCTCTCTCTTCCTCTCTGTAAAAAAAAAAAAAAAAAAAAAAAAAAATCAATAAAATATATATATATATATTTTAAATATATATTTTATTGATTTTTCACAGAGAGGAAGGGAGAGAGATAGAGAGCTAGAAACGTCAATGAGAGAGAGAAATCAACCAGCTGCCTCTTGCACACCCCCTACTGGGGATGTGCCCGCAACCCAGGCACATGCCCTTGACCGGAATCGAACCCGGGACCCCTCAGTCCACAGACCGACGCTCTACCGCTGAGTCAAACCGGTTTCGGCCAATAAAATATATTTAAAAAAAATAATAATAGTAATAAAAGGAGGGAAAGCCAGAGACTCCGAGAGGGTTACAGGACCAGGACCGGCGTGCCCCGTTGTGCCCGAGGCGGTGGGTGGGCAGAGCGCGCGCCGGCCCCGGAGGCTGCTGGGCCAGGCGCCGCCCGCCCGGCCGGCGCCGCCCATCGCCCCGTGTGGTCCCCGTCTCTCTCCCCCGCAGGTTTGAGCTGATGCAGGTGTGCTGGCACTTCAACCCCAAGATGCGGCCCTCCTTCCTGGACATCATCGGCAGCATCAAGGACGAGCTGGAGCCCGGCTTCATGGAGGTGTCCTTCTACTACAGCGACGAGAACAAGCTGCCGGACACCGAGGAGCTTGACCTGGACCCCTCCATGCTGGAGTGCGTGCCCCTCGACCCGTCGGCCTCCTGCGCCTCCCTGCCGCTGCCCGAGCGCCACTGCCACCACCACCACCACCACCACCACGACGGCCGGGAGCACTACTGCCCCCGCCACCACGATGGCCGGGAGCGCTACTGCCCCCACCACCGCCACTACGAGCCGCCCCGCGAGCGCCAGCGCTACTGCCCGCACCGCCCCGACATCCAGCCCGTCCCCGACGGCCTGGGCCAGCGCGTGCTCATCTACCACCGCTCCAGCCTCGACGAGAGGCAGGCGTACGCGCAGATGAACGGGGGGCGCAAGAACGAGAGGCCCGTGCCTCTCCCCCAGTCCTCCACCTGCTGATGTGGGACCCCGTCCCGCGGAGCAGGGCCCCCCCCATGCGTGTGCGTGTGTGTGTGTGTGTGTGTGTGTGTGTGCATGGCCCCAACCATCTGGCCACAGCCTCCTGCACCTCGTGGGGCTGCTGCCCACAGGCAGGCCTCTCTGCCGGTACACACACACATACACACACACACACACACACACACACACACACGCATGGGATGACCCCTTTTTTTTTCAATATGCAAGCAGCTGATTGCCCTGCCCAAACCCTTAACTGACATGGGCCTTTGAGAACCTTAATGACACTGAAAAAGCAACAGAACGCTAGAGAATCGAGTCTCCTTACTCCTTCTCTGCCTCCCCCTCTCTCTCTGATCTCTCTCCCTCTCCCTCTCTCTCTCTCTCTGATCTCTATCTCTATCTATCTCTCTATCTCTATCTCTGCTTCATAACGGAAAGAACATTTGCCACAGCCCAGCCAGGACGCCCTTCTTGCCCGATGGAGGCCAGGGCTGGCCGCCCCTGTGGTGCCCCCTCTCGCTCATGCATACCTGCCTGTCCCCGTGGGTCAGGCTGCAATGGGAATTTTTTTTTTTTTAAATGTCATCTTTCACCTGTTTAGGGACACACTAGGGCCATTTACAAAGGGCCATCGCCCATCCCAGGCTGTTGCCACGGTCACGCTGCCAAATTCTGCCAAAATCCAGGGCTCGGTCCCTCGCACCCGCACACTCCCCCCTCTCGTTTCCTGGTGGCCAGATGCGCGGGTGTGTGCGGTCTCCGGTCACCCCGATCTGCGGCAGCCGCGCGGGCGGTGATCTCCATCCCTTTGTCCACGCAGGTCAGTTTGTGTTCGAAGGGGTTATTCTCTGGGGGGACTGGGCCGACGGGCCACGTGCTGTCAGAGATGGGAGAAGCCAGGGGCTCAGCCTCTGCAGCCCACAGGCCCTCTGAGGGAGCAAAGGTGGCTCACGTGCTACTCTGCCGTCCCCCCAGAGTCCCTCTGGCCCCCGAGGACACATTGGAGAAGGGGTTTCCAGGGACAGAGCCCAGGGGTTCACGCAGGTTTTTGTGTGTGTGTGGGGGGGGAAAGCGACGCAGACACCCCCGGTCACGGGAAAGCAGGCCGAGAGGCCAGCCGCCCGAGCCTGTGCCATGTTCCATTTCTAGAACTTCCTTGGGTCCCGCCGTTCCGGGTCAGACCCGACCCATCGGCATCCCCATCGTCTCCACGTCACTTGGATAACGTTTTTTACGGTTCAGATAACTCATCGATACGCGTCCTTGTACAGAAAACAAAGACGGCTGCTATTTTTGTTTTTAACTTTTTTTGGTTATCTTTGTGGATCTATTCTATGAAAACGTTCAGGTTTCCCTCTCTCCCTTCTCTGCGTTCTTTGCAGAGCTGACGCTTTGGACTAGATGCGGTTCTCTCTCTCTCTCTCTCTCTCTCTAGGAACGGATTCTCGTAGATCGGCCTTTGCCGCGAGCTGCCTCTGATGCCTTTTTTTTTTTTTTTTTAATAACTCTCTACTTCCCTGCACTCTGCTCCCCCGGCCCCCTGCCAGATCCGTTACAACCCGTAAGCTCTGTGGGCACCAGGCTGGCGAGGGAGGCGGATGGAAAGGGGTTCCCTTCGCCCGCCCTCGCGCCTGGCATTGCAGCCTCTGACCGTGTGCAAAGCCGTAGACAACCTCAGGTCAGAACCCAAGGTCAAGTACTTCCCACGCCTGTTCAGTGTTCCTCGTGGCTGTGGGGAGGAAGGAAGCCTCCCTCCTCTTTCCCTGGCCCTCTTCCTTTTGGATGTGACACACTTTTTTTTTTGTAATTTTTTTTTTTTTTTAATTCTTGGGTACAACAGCAGTTTGAACTGCAGATGCTAGTCGTTTGAATTACATTGTTCCTTTTTTTGTGATTTTTTTTTTTAAGTGGATATTTAATCCTTCCATCCTTCGAAAAACAGCTGCTAAATCTTAAGGGTGCAGTGGAGTGTGGTCGGCGGTGTTCCTGCCGCTGCCGCCTTCCAGATCGACCTACCTGTCCTGAGAACCAGGAAATCCCCAGGGACACCCCCCCATTCCCCCCCCCCCCCCCCGCACAGGGTCAGGGGCTGCTGGTGGGGTGCCCCCAGTGGCCCGGGAGCCCCCCCGTGCTGGCTCCAGGGGACCAGGGCGCTGGCACACGTATCCCTGGGCCTCGGGGTCTTTTATTTTCGGTTTTGTTTTGTTTTTTTGTTTTGTTTTGAGCGCTTTCTCACCAGCGCGATGGATTGATGACCACACACAGTTGCTGCTGGGATGGAAACAGAGTTTAGATGCCGAGTGAGAACGGAGCTCAGACAGGGCGAGTGCTAGTCGCCATTGGAGATGAAACAGGAGGAGGAGGAAGAGGAGGAGGAGGAGGAGGAGGAGGAGGAGGAGGAGTCGTTTCAGTCCCAGAATTGTCTCGAGCCCCATTTCCCCCCCAGTTGGTCCCTTTAAGAAACTGAGTCAAAGTGGTTCGTGGAGAAGGCGTGTGCAGGAGTTTCCGTTGATTTTCCGATTCCGGTTTCCGTCGCTGTTCGAGAAGCGCAGCCCCCTGATGGATCGCCATCCCGACGTGAGGGTTTGTGTGCGGAAAGAAGGGATGGTTTTTTTGAGTTTTTGATTTTTGGGGGTGTTTTTTTTTTTGTTTTGTTTTTTCCCCCAAACATGTATCTACCTCACACTTCTTTTTTTAAAAAATGTGTATATAACAACAAAGAATACATCTCACATGTCTCAGCACCTGACAATACGCCATGGGTGACCGGTACCTCAGCCATGCACAGGCTGCGCCCGCCCGTGACCGTGACCCTGACCGTGACCCGGGCCAGGCCAGGCTGGGCTGCATCCGGGGGCCGCAGTTTCGCTCTCCCTCCCGCCTCTCTGCCCCTCTCTGACGGCTTGCCTCTCCCTCGGCTGTCTCCTCTTGGCCTTGCTTTCTTCTTCTTCTTCTGACTCGGTTCCCTACGAGGTTGTGAGGTGTCACCATTTCCCCTCCATCTTGGCCCAGTGTCCCCCACTCGGCAGGGGGGTGAGGACACATTCCCTCCTCACCCACCGCTCGCTGGGTGGGAAGGAAGGCCCGTCGGCTGCCCCAGCCGGTTGTCCTTGAACGCAGCTGCTTTGTGCAGGTGGTTTTCGGGATCTAGCGGGCAGGAGGCGGCCGGGAGCGGCCGTCTCCGTTAGCGCCCATCCCTGCCAGGCTCGGGGGTGGGTGGGCTCCAGGGGGCGCCGCTCTGGCCGCCCCAGACGGACGGGGTTCCTGTGCCAGGCACTCTTTAAGAACCCCGTCCGCCAGGCCTCCTGTCGAGAATAGGAGGTCCCTACCTCCCAGCCAATCCCTTCCAGAATGTTCTGTGGAGAAGAGTTTCCCACCCCCACCCCACCCTCCGTCCCCCGTCTCCAGAATGTTCTCTGAATTTCCCCCCTCCCCTCCTTTTCTCCTCCCTTTCCAGGGGAAGACAAAAGATGTACCAAGCCTTCGGGCTGGAGGGGGGGGTGGGGTGGTGCTAGGCGCCAAGCCTCCTTTCTGGGGTGTCGGGGTGTCGGGGTGTCGCACCTCCCACCAGGCCTTGCCTCTCTGTCCCTCGGTCCCGCCGCTGCTCACCACGGGGGTGGCGGACGGCGCGACCCGGTTCCAACAGCTGCTCTCAGGCCCTGGTGATGTGACGTGGGCGACGAGACCCACGGGGGGGATTCAGTGGGGGCAGCTCTCCCGTCCCCGCAGGGACAACCCCTCCCCTCTCCCCTCGCCCTTGGGACCCTCGAGGCTCACCGACAAACGCCATCTGATGGGGGGGTTCCCCTCACCCACACACGCTGCCGGGGAACCCCTGGGTGGTGGCCTCCCTCACTTTTGCACATAACCTTCCGGTTTCCACGCGACTCGGGCGCGCCTGCCCGGTCCACCCAGCCAGTTCCAAGGGTTTCTCTCTCTTTTTCGTTCCATCGTTTGGGTTTTTTTTTTTGTTTTGTTTTTTTGAGTTTTCCGTCGGTGTGGTTCTGTTACCGTTTGACGTCGGTGGTTTTCCTCTGAGTAGAAAGCAAACACTAAGCGTAGGCGTAGGCGATAAATGCTTGCCGGGAGGGTGCGGTCATCCTACTGGACCGGGGGCCCCGCTGCCAGGCCGGGGGGCCCCGTCTCCCCCTTGATTTTATTATTTTTTTATTTTTCCTTTTTCTTACGCTCCGAATAATCCACTGGAGCCGGACTGCGGCGTTTCCCACGCGACCTCCACCCCCCCACACAGCGGCTCCTGCTGCGCCAAGCGCTCAGACGCATCACGGAGCCGAGCTGAGCGCTCGCCACGGCCCAGGCCGCAATGTTCTGGAGACACCGGCAAGGTCAAGGTCAAGGTCAAGGCCCGGCGGTGCGGCGAGGCCCCGGCCGCCCAGGTCTCCTCCGTGGGGTGTTGTGACATTGGACGCTGTTGAGATGAGCTTCCTCGGAGGAGGAGGAGGAGGAGGAGGAGGAGGAGGAAGAGAGAAGGGGGATCACGGCCAACACCGGCCTCCCCTTCCAGCCCGTTAACTCGCGGCGTAAAATAAGGCGTCCAAGGTCGTGGGGAAAGAAGAAGAAAAGAGTGGTGATGGCAGAACCGCCCAACGGCGAGATGCCTGGCGTGAACTGGTCGCCGTGTATGTGGGGGCCGGCGCCACGCATCCACGGGCCGAGCCCAAGTGCCAAATCCCGGGCCCGTTGGTTCCACCGACGCCTTTCTCGGCAGCGCACGAGGGCCACCCTCCAAGGCCAAGGTCACGGGGGCTCAAGGGGCGAGAATGCGAGGATGCACGGTCCACCTCGCCGCCCCCGAGTGGCCAGAGGATGGAAGGAAGATCCTTCCCAAGTCGGAGGGCGCCCCCTCCCCACAGTGGGCAGGAGCCCTCCGCGCCCCACCTGGGCCCAGTCCCAGGGGCGCACCTACGGCCCGGGGCCTGTTCCCCGGGTCCATGTTGCCTCTGTGCGCATTGGCTGTCTGTGACTCCGTCTCCCGGGCTCCGCAGCGCCGGGAGACCCCGACCAGACACCCCCTTTTCTGAAGCAGCGGCGACTCGGTCCCCGCCACCAATGAGAATGAGAAAGGCTGTCGTCTTTTTTTTTTGGACCTTTGGACCGAACCTCTCTGTTGCCGCCGGAGATGCTGAAGATACAGAGGACAGGCCAGAGGGGGGGAGGTCACGCCTGGCCCCCCTGGCTCAGATGGCAGAGCTGGTCCCTCAGATGGTGGGGAGAGCCAGCGGGAGGAAGCCTCCGTCGCCGCCAAGGTGCTGGCGGGACGCGGAGAGAAGAATCAGAGAGAAGAATCGCTGAGCACAGGGGCCCAGGGCCTGGAGGAAGGAAGTGCGGGCCGCGCTCGGAAATGAATGGATGGTTTCTTGGAATGACCACGTCGGACCACGTCCAGGCTCGGAGTCATATCTATGGGCATTCGTCTTCAGCAGCCACCCCAACGCCATTCGGTGGTTGGGGACTAGGACTTGTCTGAGGACACGAACTCCATCACGCCCGTCAGTGGTCGGTTCGGGGGCATGACTTTAGGGTTTTGTTTTTTTTTTGTTTAAGAATATTGATTACTCATCTATATTTTTGTGTTGTTTTTTTTTTTTTGATTACTCATCTATATTTTTTTGGTTTTTTGATTACTCATCTATAATTTTTTTTGATTACTCATCTATATTTTTTGTTGGTTTTTATTTGATTACTCATCTATAATTTTTTTGATCGTTTTTTTGATTACTCATCTATACTTTTTTGATTACTCATCTATACTTTTTGTTGGTTGTTTTTGATTACTCATCTCTACTTTTTTGATTACTCATCTATACTTTTTGTTGTTGTTTTTTGATGACTCATCTATACTTTTTTTGTTGTTGTTTTTTTTTTAATTACTCATCCGTATGGCCACGTTTGTGTGTGTCCTCATTTTTCCGGTCAGCATCGTTTTGATTACTCACACATTAGCATTTTCAATAGGGCTCTCATGTCCAGTAGATACGGGTAGTCAGTCGACGAAGATCTGGTTTACAGGAACTAATTCAACGTTTCATTGCATTTTTGTAAGGACATAGAATAATTTTATACAACAAGTCCGTAGTCCGTAACCGCCGAAATAATTTAAGGACACTTGGGTTTTTTTTTTTTTGCAAATGTACGCTCGTAATCCATTTATTTTGTTGTTGTTTTTTTTAATAGGACACCTGTTTACTAGCTAGCTTGACGAGATGCCAAAAAATGCATTTCCCCCCTGCCCCCAAGCCCTGCATAATTCTTTTACACCCCTACACACACATACACACACACACACACACACACACACACACGGTTCATGTCCTAGTTTATATAGCGGAGGAATGGTGGCGATTTCAGTAGTTCTGTACCTTCAGTACCTTGGTCTTCCTGAACCTTCCGGTTGGGAAGGGGAATCATCGTTTGCTGGTCATTGATCTTTGGAGTATAGCTATACTTTAAGATACTGAAGGAACCTCATTGGCCAAGATGCTGCTGCCCAGCGGTGCCCGGCCCCGGCACTGGGCATCTGGTGCGGCTGTTGCCATGGTTGCGGGATGCCTCGCGATGGAGCTGCTGACAGCACAGCTCCTGGCATCACAGCGCTCGCCGCACGCACGCACGCAGACTTAACACGCAAGACGGTAATTCTGGTGCGGGCGGACTGTTTGCTTCCATGCCTCTTGTTATGATGGACGCTTTGTTATATAATCAGAGAGACTTATTTTTTAAGGCACACCACCGAAGATACATTTTTTTTCCCCAAGACAAAACAAAGTTCTTTTGGATAAAAACAACACATACACACACACAGTTTTTTAAAAGTCTGACTCCATTTCCTCTTGCGCCCAGTGGGTCATGGGCCACGTCTACACGATGCCACAAAAGCCCCACCATTGGGAATGGGGTGTTTTGCACAACATGGGAGAAAGGTCCAGATAACAGTATTTTTCTGTTTGCAACTTGGCATTCGGGTGTTGCTTAGACGCATCCACAGGTGGGATAGGTGTTTGGCAAAAACACCCGTGTGCTTTCAAAGCCAGTGAGGTTGACACGTAAGGTTTGCCAGAGTTGGTCCCCTAGGGAAAAAAAATGTTAAAAAACAAAATCAGACCGGAAGGCACGATGGAATGGATGTATTGCAGATCATTTATTTTCCAAGTTTTCTTGTTTAAAAAAATGAAGTAAAAGTTTTTTAAAAAGTTTTTAAGAACCAATAATTAAACACAGCCAATTTGTTACGTAAAACGACTTTCTGTGGACAGATTATTCGTAAAAACTTCCTCTGTTTATATACAAAAAAAATCAGTAGCTAAAAAAAAAAAATTTCAAAATGGTTTTGTATACTCCATTGTAAGAATTTATCCCTGTTATCGCGATATACTCTGGATTCTTTACATTACGAGGGGGGGAAAAAAACTTTGTCTATTTTGAATGGCTGACGCTAACGCGATTTTAGTTTATCTTACTCTGCTTTTTTCTAATAGTTCAAGTATTACATGGTTTACGTTCAATAAAGGAATTCAGTATGCATTTCCGGTCTCCGTTTTGTTCTCGCCTCCGTGCAAGGCTCACCATGCCTCTGAGGCAGGGGCACCGTGTGGCATGCGTGTTCACACATGTTGCTTGGAGGTGTTCAGCGTGAAGGTTTTATTTCTGACAGCTGAACCCTCACAGCATGCAAATTGCCAGCACACCTACTCAGAGGGGGGCAGGGAGAACCGAGTTCGCACACCTAGGATGTGGCTCGCGGGAGGTGTTCACAAGTGTTCGCTCCTTAAAAGTTCGTGATCTCAGCCAGCCCCGAGGACCACAGCCTAGACAGCATTATCTCTGCCAGGGAAATGGTCACGGTGGGAAACGTGAATACACATTTCGTGCAAACCAGATGAGCCAGCATGGCTCAGTGGTTGAATGTCAACCTATGAACCAGGAGATCACGGTTCGATTCCAGGTCAGGGCACACGCAGTTGGGGGCTGTGCAGGAGGCAGCCCATCAATGTGTGTCTTTCACCTCGATGTTTCTCTCTCTCCTCCCTTCCATTCTCTCTAAAAATCAATAGAAAAATATCTATGGGAGAGGATCAACAAAAAAAAATAAACTCTCAAGCTTGGTGGTGTCCCTGGGATTTTGCTCACCATTGGCGTTACTACATGACCAATGTCGGAAGGCAGGCTCGTTTCCAAGGCTATGGGGATGTCTGGGCTGCAGGCAGGGAGGACACGGGTGGCCGGGGCGCCTCTCCCACGTCCCGGGTGGGTTCCTGCTGCCTCCGGGGCTGCTGGGAAGGCGCTGGGTCTTCAGAAGTGTGAGGAGGACCTGTCCCCACCGGGCCACTTCCTAAGGCCTCGGGTCCAGCTGGGCTGATTCTCATCCCCGTGGGCCCAGCAGCCGCCTGGTGGCCTCCCATCACTGAGGGACCGCCGCCTCCAATCTCTCACTGCACCTCTGTAACAGCTCTGCAGGGGAGGGGTTTTGATTCGTTTTAGAGATGAGCAAAGAGGTAGCCTCGCCCAAGACCCGCCCCCCAGCTACTCAATGACTAATCCAAGGCTCAGCCTTTTCCGCTGTAGCATTCAAACCGACTCCGATCTGCTGCACGTTCATAACTAAACAGGCCCCGGCGTGTATCCAGGAGGGGGAGTGAAGTGCAAGGCTGCTCTGCCCAGGATGTGGCCTCTGGGGTCATGAGGGGGGACATGACACATTCATGATGAGGGAGCTCTGGGCCTCCCCCAGAGAATCTCATCTAAAAGCTGCTGACACGTGTGTGGCTTGGTGCCAAGTGATGTGAAATAACCCAGGAGCCGGACCAGAGGGAGGCCCCTGCCTGCCACTGCCCTGAGAGCCTTGATGGGGCTGGGAGCAGGGTTTATCTACAAATACAGAAGGCTCTGCACATTCACAACGCTTCTGGCCAGACCATCCCACCCCCATTTGCTGGCTTTGGATAGGCTAACACCGTGTCTTTGAGCTGCATTAGGTCCTTTTATCGATGTTTCTAACTCTCTATCCCTCTCCCTCTCTGTTAAAAAAAACCAATACAATATATTTTAAAATTAAAAAAAAAATAAACAACTGTGACTTCATGAGGCTAATTCGGAACGTGTCCCTCTGTGGAAACGGTGCGATCAAGCAAATTTTTAAAAGCCTCTCAAAGCACAGCTGAACTCTCCACGTGGGATGGAAACATCCCATTTTCTCCAAAAGCTAGGAGCCCCAGTCGGTTCTCCCTGAGGCCTGTTTCCTGGGCACCAGGCTTTGGCCGTGGGCATTCTCACCCTCCTCCAGCATCTCCCGGATGATGACTTGCAGGGCCTTTCCCAGCAGGCTGGCGGGGAGCCCCGGAGACAGCGGGGGCACGTGGATGAGCACCGCACGCCCATCCCCGTGATGCAGAGACAGGTAGTAGGTGTAATCGCACACGTATCTGCAACGGCAGGCAGGGGACCCCACGTGACTCCTGGGGCCAGGGAAAGGAAGGCAAGCAACGGTAATGCCCTGGCATCATCCCCAGCACGCGAGGAGGGAGGACTGCCACCCAGGGAGGCGGAGGTTCTGTCCTTTTGCCTTTTTGAAGGGAGACATCCTAGCAGACAGATGGGTCAGGCCTGCCGGTGTGGCTCAGTGGTTGAGCCTCAACCTGGGAACCAGGGGGATCACCGTTCCATTCCTGGTCAGGGCATAAGCCCCCGGGGGTTTGCAGGCATGATCCCCAGTGGGCGGCCTGCAGGAGGCAGCCGATCCATGATTCTCTCCGTCTCCATCTCCCTTCCTCTCTGAAATCAACGAAAATATATTTATAAAAAAAAAAAAAAAGGAAAGAGCCCAAACCGGTTTGGCTCAGTGGACAGAGCATCAGCCTGTGGACTGAAGGGTCCACAAGTGTTAGATCCCGGTTGGTCAAGGGCATGTGCCTTGGTTGCGGGCACATCCACAGTACAAGGTGCACAAGAGGCAGCTGATCGATGTTTCTCTCTCATCGATGTTTCCAACTCTCTATCCCTCTCTCTTCCTCTCTGTAAAAAAAAACAATAAAAAATATTTTTAAAAAGAAAGAAAGAAAGAAAGAAAAGAACCAAAACCAGTTTGGCTCAGTGGATAGAGCGTCGGCCTGTGGACTGAGGGGTCCCGGGTTCGATTCCAGTCGAGGGCATGTACCTTGGTTGCAGGCACATCCCCAGTAGGAGGTGTGCAAGAGGCAGCTGATCGATGACTCTCTCTCATCGATGTTTCTAACTCTCTCTCTCCCTTCCTCTCTGTACAAAATCAATAAAATATATATTTTTTAAAAATCAATAAAATATGTATATTTTAAAAATCAATAAAATAAATATATTAAAAGTAAAGAAAAGAAAAAAGGAAGATGGGTCCTGTTCCCCTTCCCGCCCCGCGAAGCGACGCAACGCACCTGCCCGCGTCGCGGGAAACCAGCACCTCGACGCCCTCCTCCGCCACGCGCCTGCGGACCGCCTTCAGGTTGACCCGCGACTCAATCACTTCCGGGCCGCCGGGGACGCACGCGCCGCCGCCGTGCTCGGGCCGGAAGCCACGCGCGTCGGTCTCGCGATAGCAGCGGTTCCGGCCGCGCTGCTCGAGCACCACGGCCTTGGCGGCGCTGTCCACGCCCACGTGCACGGCGAGCTGCGGGGACGCGGGGCCGGCGGCGGGGAGTTTAGGGAAACTGAGGCCTGCCTGTCCCCGTCTTCCGCGAAGGCCCGGCAGGGGGTGAGTGCGCGTGCGAGGCTGCGTCCCCCTCATTCCTAGGCCACCGCGCGGGAAAGCCGCCGCCAGCTGGGAAACCGTGAGGCGTCGTCTGGGTAAATATTTGTATTTTTTTTGTATTTTTTGTATTTTTAAAATATTCCAGCCACCACCGGTGTGGCCCAGTGGATAGAGCGGCGTCGGCCTGCGGACTGAAGGGTCCCGGGTTCGATTCTGGTCAAGGGCATGTCTTTCTCTCATTGATGTTTCTAGCTCTCCATCCCTCTCTCTTCCTCTCTGTAAAAATAAAATAAATAAAATAATAAAATAATAAAATAATAAAATAAATTAAAATATAAAATATAATAAAATAATAAAGTAATAAAATAAAATAAATAAAATAATAAAATAAAATAAAAATATATATTTTTAAAAAGGTCCCCAAACCGGTTTGGCTCAGTGGATGGAGCATCGGTCTGCGGACTCGGGGGTCCCAGGTTTGATTCCCGTCAAGGGCATGTACCTTGGTTGCAGGCACATCCCCAGTAGGGGGCGTGCAAGAGGTAGCTGATCAATGTCTCTCATCGATGTTTCTAACTCTCTCCCTTCCTCTCTGTAAAAAAAAATCAATAAAATATAATAAATGTAAAAAAAAATCAATAAAATATATATATATATATTTTTTTAAAAAAAGACACGTATATATTGACTAGAGGCCTGGTGCATGAATTCATGAACCAGTGGGGTCCCTTGGCCTGGCCTGCGGGATCCCCTGAGGGGTCCTGGATTTCAAGAGGGTGCAGGCCAGGCCAGGGGACCCCACCCGTGCACAATCGGGGCCAGGGAGGGAACCCCAGGAGGGACCCCATCTCACTCAGTAGCAAGCTACCTGCAGGTTGGAGCATCTGCCCCCTTGTGGTCAGAGCACATCACAGCAAGCAGTTGAGCAGCCATAGCATACATATCATTAGCATGCTGTGCTTTGATGGTTGAACGAACTATTGGACAACTGGACACAGCATATTAGGCTTTTATTATATAGGATTTGAGAGAGGAAAGGAGAGAGAGAGAGAGACAGAGAGAGAGAAACTGATTGGCTGCCTCCTGCACGCCCCCTTACTGCGGATGGAGCCCACAACCCTCACTTGTGCCCTGGCTGGGAATCGAACCTTGACCTCCTGGTTCATAGGTCGGCGCCTAACCACTGGGCCACACCAGCTGCGCTGCATTTATTTATTACAGCTTAAGCTCTTAGAAGCAGGCTCAGAACCTTATAGAAACCCACTGGGATGGTGCTGGTAAGATGCAGGGCTTGGGTGCACTTAAGCCATCACCTCTAGAACCGGGGGGAAGGGGGGGTCCAGGGGTTCACAGGCTCTGGGGCTCCATCTCATCATCAGCAATCCCCCCCCCCCACCCCACCCCGCTACTGGCTCCCCAGCCGCCATTTACTTGCGGTTGCAGGTCTTCCCAGATCCTGGTGACCCTCCGCTTCACCTCCCTGTAATCCACCGGCAGCTGAAGCGTCCGCAGCTCCACCTCCGCGTCCCTCCCCAGGCCCAGCTTGGAGAGCTCCTGTTGAGAGAGGCAGGCGGGCCTGGCCCATGTGGCTCTGTCAGTTGGAGCAGCGTCCCAAACCCCAAAACCTCCAAGGTGCTGGGTTCGGTTCCTGGTCGGGGCATATACCTAGGTTCTGGGTTCGATCGCTGGTCGGAGCTAGTGAGTGAGCCCACAGTGGGTTTTGTTTTTGTGTTCTTGTTACTATGAGAAGGCCTGAGATAATAATAACCAGCATGAGAGGACAAAATGAGACACACACCCCTCCCCTCCACTTGTGTACAGGGACCTCTCCTACTACAGCAACCAGCTTTCCTGGCAACCACTTAACAAACAAACCAACAACGTTTTTACTGATTTCAGAGAGGACGGGGGGAGGGAGAAAGAGATAGAAACCTCAACGATGAGCCGAAACCGGTGTGGCTCAGTGGATAGAGCATCAGCCTGCGGACTGAAGAGTCCAGGGTTCGATTCCGGTCAGGGGCATGTACCTTGGTTGCGGGCACATCCCCAGTAGGGGCTGTGCAAGAGGTAGCTGATCAATGTCTCTCATCAATGTTTCTAACTCTCTCTCTCTCTCTCCCTTCCTCTCTGTAAAAAAAAAAAATCAATAAAATATATATTAAAAAAAAGAAAGAAAGAAACCTCAATGATGAGAGAAAAATGGTTGATTGGCTGCCTCCTACATGCTCCCTGCCCCCCTCCCATGGGGACCAAGTTCGCAACCCAGGCATGTGCCCTGATGGGAATCACACTGTGGTCTCCTGGTTCATAGATCAATGCTCAACCCCTTTGTTGTTGTTTGCCACACAGCCTAACGGGCCACCTGGGGCAGGCGAGGACCCCCCGAGACCCAGAGGCCATCCCTCCTCCAGGGCCCCTCCCTCAGGGAGCTGGCCCGGCTCTGAGTGCCCAGGTCTGGGCCTGCCAGGGGGTTACCTTCACTGCTTCCCAGCTGGAGTTCACCAGGTGCTGCCGGAAGGGCCCGAACCCTGAAACAGAGGAGGTTCTGGTTTGCTCAGGCCAGGCCTCGGGTGGTGGGGGGCGAGGTGGGGTGTCTCTCCTCCTGGGCTGCTCCCAGAGCCTTTGTGGGCCCCCCTGGAACCCCCACATCCCTTCCTTGGAGTGAGCATCACAGAATGTGAGGCATTGTTCTCCTAATATCTATTTGTATTGATTTCAGAGAGGAAGGGAGATGGGGGGAGAGGGGGGGAAAACCTTTATGATGAGAGAGAATCGTGGATGGGCTGCCTCCTGCACGCCCCCTACTGGGGATCCAGCCCACAACCCGGGCCTGTGCCCTGACCGGGAATCGAACTGTGACCTCCTGGTTCCTAGGTCGACGCTCAGCCACCGAGCCACGCCAGCCGGGCAAGGACGCCTTGATCTTGGGCCCTTGCTTTCCCGTCATCTGTGTCCATGCCAAGCGTCTCGGCCAGGTTCACACGGGAAGCAAATCCAATGAAAGGCAGAGACCGCCCCTGGCAGCTCCCCGTTTTCAATAAGAGGCCGGCCACCCCGGGAGCCACCGCCGGCTGACAGGCCCCTCGGCAAACAGGCTCAGGTTGGCCAGCACACCGGTCCTTGTGGGTCTGAGACCTGCCCAGGCGCTTCGGCGTTCAGAGTTGATTGGTGACAGGCACTCATTTGCCAGAGGTATAGTTTTGTTTCCCCCTAGGAATTCAAGGGTAATTGGATCCACTCCATCTCCATACCCAGAATGCCACAGTGAGAGCAGGGGAGATGAAGGGTTCTCAAAAAGAACGTTCTTTCGCTCACAGGGGTGAGAGGAGTTTGATGATATGCCTGAAAACGTTGCGATAGGTAACTCGTGATTTGCCACACACAGAGGAATCCTTGTCTGGCCTCTGTTGCCTTCAGCCAACACAGTCCCAAACGCTTAACATGTGCCAGTTACGTCTGAGCGAAAAAAGAAAGAGCTTTGTCGAGAAATCAAACCCTCGCCTCAACCAGTCTGGCTCAGTGGATAGAGCGTCCGCCTGCGTCAGACTGAAGGGTCACGGGTTCGATTCTGGCCAGGGGCATGTACCAGGGTTGCAGGCTCGATCCCCAGACTTGATTGGGGCACATACAGGAGGCAGCCAATCAGTGTTGCCTCTCTCATCGATGTTTCTCTCTCTCTCTCACCCTCCCTACCTTGTCCTCCCTCTAAAAACCAATGGAAAAATATCCTTGGGTAAGGACTAACAACACCACCACCAAAATAAAAACCAATGGAAAGATATCTTTGGGTGAGGATTAAAAACAAACAACAACAAAAAAATACAACAACCCAACAAAACAAGCCCTCCAGGAGCGCAGCTGCGACAATGACTTGGGGGGCTGGGGTGGATTTGGGGTGTGCGGGGTGCATTTGGGTAGGAGTGGGCAGCTACCATCCACCCAAAAGGTGGCCTTTTGGGTTCAAAGTCTTCAACTGGTGGCTCAGGGTGCCTCGTGGTTTTCTGAGGGGTCCGAAGCTCGCTCTCTCTGGTCTGGGGGTGGGGGGTGGGTGGCACCTTTGGGGGTGATCACTGCAGGTGGACTGCCCCAGCTTTATGAGGCCCTGTGCTTCCCGGGACCCCCAGCTCCTCCTTCCTGGCTGAGAAACTGCCCGATGCCCCCTGGGCCCACTGGCTTCCTCCCTGATGGGCTCAAGGTCAAGGTCTGGGCCTCAGCCACAGGTGGGCACGCTTACACGGCTGCCATTCAGGAGCTATTTGTGGCGAATGGCAGGACCGAATGCAGAACGCCTCTCTGTCCGCTGACGGTTCCGAACAGGCAGAGCTGGGGGTCAGCTTCCTTCTGGAGTTACTGGCGCCACTGTCAGCCGCTGTCTTTTCTCCACCGGGCAACCGGTTGTGACCAGAATCGGGGCCAGGCTATATAGGCAGCAGCACACGGGAAAGCAGACAGACAGGCTTACCGGTCACCACCACGCAGCCGGGCCGGGGCTCCATGTCACCAGAGTGGGGCGCGTCAGGTGGCCGTGACGCAGCCCGGGCACTGGGTGCCCCTCCCACAGGGTCCCTCAGCATTCTGGGGCACCTAACGCCTGAAGACTCTGGGGTGGGGGAGGGCGGTAAGACGATGCCCTTGAAAGCAGAAAGCCAGCTCAGGCCAGCAGAGGCAGGGCCATCTGGGACTTGCTGGCCACTGGGTTTGGGCCAGTTTGCTGCTTGTAGGATTCAAAGGGGAGGTTGGCAGCTGTCTGTCCTGCTTTGCCGGGACTGAGGGGTTTCTGGGATTATGGGGGATGTGGGGAGGTGGGGGGAAGGGACTAAAATGGACTGAAATGGGTACAAACCATCAAGGTGGGTGACCCTACAAGTTTCTCGGTCAGGTTTCCTCCGCCTCAGTCATCCCCCACCTGCCCCAGAGTGCTCGTGTCTGGCCCATTAGGACTTGAGGAGGTTGCTCTTGAAACTGATTCTGCAAAATACGTTAAGAAAACAATGAAAGAAGCCCTGACCGGTTTGGCTCAGTGGATAGAGCGTCTGCTTGCGGGCTGAAGGGCCCCGGGTTCGATTCCGGTCAGGGCCATGTGCCTTGGTTGCAGGCACATCCCCAGTGGGAGGTGTGCAGGAGGCAGCTGATCAATGTTTCTAACTCACTCTCTCTCCCTTCCTTTTCTGTAAAAGATCAATAAAATAAAATAAAAATAAAAAAAAGAAAACAAAGACAAACCAAGCCCCAGATGATGGTTCTGATTAGTAGTGTTGCTTGAAGCCCCATTGCTATAAGCTGTGGGTCCTAAGGCACGTTCACAAACCATTAGGTTTAATAAAAAAAAATAAGCACAAAAGCAACCTTTCATAAAACTAAAAATACTTTTTTTTTTTTTAAAGAGCTACAAAGAAATACAATTTTTTTTCTCCATCTGGGTGTAGCCAGGGGGAGCCCCGGGGCTCCCCCAGTCCCAGGAAGCTTCCCCACGTGCAGAGGGCCCTGGGTTAGAGGGCGTGGCCACGTGGTCCCCTTGCTAAGAATAGCCCCCACCCTGAATGGGATCCGGGGCTGGGCTCCATCTGAAGCCTTCCTGGGGTGCTGAGCGCCAGCCATTCCCTCTCACTGGCCCCTGGTGTGGGCTGCGGGCCGTTTGCAGAGAACGGACGGGAAGTGGCGTCCGACCCCGTGGCCTCCCGGGCTGCTCAGAGAGGCCGGGCCACCTTGGTCTGCAGGGGGATGCTGTGCCCCGATTCAGATCGGAAAGCGGTGCCCTGGTTTCTCATACTCCCTCTGGCTTTCTCGGTGGTATCTGAACCCCCTCCTAGTGAACGATGGCTCCCCAAGTTCACGACTCTTGCCCAAGCCCTGCCAGAGCTGTAAACAAGATTAGGCCCCTAGCAACGCCCACGTTTGTAAAGTTGGCGGCCTTGAGGGTCAGATTCTAGCTAACGAGGTCTGCTGTGGTAACTGGTAATTCCTCGCGTTAACTTACCAGGGCCCCAAGAAGCCCAGCTGGTGTGGCTCAGTGGTTGGGTGTCGGCCTAGGAACACAGGAGGTCACATATGATGCCCAGTCAGGGCACATGCCTGGGTTTCGGGCTTGATCCCCAGTGTGGGGTCTGCAGGAGGCCTCTCTTCCTTCCCCTCTCTAAAAATCAGTAAAAGCACATTTTTTTTTAAAGTAAATAAAATAATAGTAATAGCTCTTCCCTGTGTCAGACATCACTGCTCCCAGATCAGTTACTTATTACCGTAACAGAACTGGAGCCGACCTGCCTCTTGTCAAAGTCCTCACAGGTTTTCACAAAATGCCCTCCTCCACCAGCAAACAGTGGCTGGGGGTGAGGGGCCCCCAGCTGTTCCCCCACTTTGGGAGGCAGGCAGATGGGTTTGGGATCCATGTGGGACAGAGGCCCAAAGGGGCTTAGGATGCATTTGAGGGGGACGGTCCAGGAGCACAAACTTCAGAGCTGCCAACCAAATGGGGGGAGGGGGGACAGGGCACCGGCTGACCGACCACAGGCCTGTGGGTTCCAAGGCTGGCGGCATTTTAAAACCAGCCCTGCTCCCCGCCTCCCCTGTGAAAAAGGCACCTTGAAACAGGCCAAGATGTCATACTGGAGGAGCGATCGATCGCCTCTCGCTGAATTTTTGTTTCGAGCGAGTGTAAGCTTCATAAATAAGAGGGGCTGTCAGCAAAAGCAGCAATCTACGCTTGTCAGGATAACAAGACTTTGCAGCGATGTTACTGGGTGTTTTCTATTGTACGTGTCATTCATTTTTCAGGTGTGTAAATTTTCACTTTTCAAGTGTGTAAATTTTCGAAGGGGGAGAATGCAAATGTTTCTTATCTCTAGAAATATGAGGAAGTGGGAAGGGGCACGGAGAGGGGGTGCCCGGAACCCAGCGAGTGGTGGGGGCACGAACAGTATCCTTCTCTAAAGAATGAGGGGGAATTAAATAGTTCTTCAGGTGGGGAACTAGCTTTGCAGAGCTTGGGAGCCGGGCGTGGCTAGCGGGAAGAGTGTGTGGTGTCGGCTCCAGGGCAGGGGCTGGGGAGAGGGGGACCCTTGGGAAGGGGACTGGGGCAGCCCCTGGGGAAAGAGCGGGGCAGCCCCAGGGCGGGGGCGAAGGCGGGAGCAGCGGGAGGGGAAGTGGGGCAGGCGGGGGCGGGCGCAGCACCGCGGAGCCTGAGCATGGAGGCTGGGGCGGCCTGGGGAGCCACAGGTAAGGGGAGTCCAGGGCCATTGCCGAGCCCGCCTGCCTTTCCCCTGCCTGCCTCCGATGGCCCTCCCCCGAGTCGGGTTTCAGTGGCTGGGCTGGCCCATAGGCGCCGCAAAACTGAAGGTAAACAGCGCGCCCGCGAGGGGAAGGCTCCTGATCCGTGCACCTGTCTGTCGCCTCTGGGGATTGAGATGGGCTGGGAGGTTCTGGCGCTCACCCCCAGAGGAGCGGCCATCGGGCGTAGGGACTGCTGGCCTGGGCTTGGTGAGCCCCATGCCGTGGTGGCACAGTCTGTGCGGTGGGGAGTACATGGTGGGGAAGAAGTCAGTACTGCACTTCGGGGCGCCGGCTTACCGCAGGCGCCCCTGTGGCTCCATCCACGGGGACTGCCAGGTACCCCCGAGCATAGCCCGTCTCCAAGAGGCGTTTGAGCAAATCACATCTGCCCGAGAACCCGTTTTCTCCAGCAGGGGAGCGTTAATCTAACAAGCGTGCTTTTCTTTATTTTTTAAAAAAATATATTGATTTCAGAGAGGGAGAGAGGGAGGGGGAGAGAGAGAAAAAAACAAACAAAACAAACATCAATGATGAGAGAAGCATGGATCGGCTGCCTCCTGTACACTCTCTACTGGGAATGGAGCCCACAACCCAGGCACGTGCCCTGACCGGGAATCGAACCGTGACCTCCTGATTCATAGGTCGATGCTCAACCACGGAGCCACGCCGGCCAGGCCTCCCCACGTTTAGACAGCAAGGGCCGTATTATTTCAAGGATCTCTACTGCCTGAGACAAGGCCAGGGACAGCTGCTTCCTGACCCTGTCCTGCCCGGACAGAGTGAACGGCCCGGCGGTCAGGACTCGGGGTGGCAGTGGGAGGGCAGTGGGCACTGAGGTGTTGTCTTTTTGACCTTTGGAACCCCTGTCTGCTGGCCGGCTGGCTGGCCTGGGCTGGGTTCCTGCTGGCAGCTGGCTCCCTGCTCCTCTGTGGCTCAGCCCGGGGGCCTTCCCGACAGAGGTTATAGGAAGGGCCCGTGTGCTCTCTGCTGTGCGATGTAGTTTAGGGTCCTGCTTCCGGTCAGAACTCCATCACGATTGCTGTTAGATGCCTGAAGTCCATGTTACTTAAAATCGGGGTTCCCGGGGGTGGGGCAGGGCAGTTAGGTGACTGTCAGTAACCACTGAAGGTCTGGGGCCTTTGAGTAACTCAGGATGATGATGACGATGATGATGATGCAGCACTGTGATTTGCAAACTCCGTGCTTTAGAGTGCACCCCAGCCTCAGCTGTGGCGTTTCCGCTCCAAGGCCAGCAGCAATCAGCAGGCTTGGGTGGGGTTGCAGCATGCAGCATGTGTGACTCTGAAGGCCGCTGTCTGTTGAAATCCAGCATGCCTTTCTCCATCCCCTTCTCTGGCCCACTCCAGCCTTGTCATACTCCATGCCTGGTCTCTGCCCTCACTTCCTGCCTAACCCGAGGCCTGTTGTCTATTGATTTCAGAGACAGGAAGAGAGAGGAGGAGGAGGAGGAGAGAGAGAAACATCAGTGAGAGAGAGTCATTGATTGGCTGCCTCCTGCACGCCCCCTACAGGGGATGGAGCCCGCATGTGCCCTGACCGGGAATCGAGCCATGACCTCCTGGTTCATATGTTGAGGCTCAAGTACTGAGCTACACCGGCCTGACTAGAAACCTCTTGATGCTTCTTTGTTCCTTCTTTTCTCAGCCTGGGGGTGCTGTTGGGCATCACCCGAGGCTGAGGCCTGGGTGAGGGGGCCTCTGGGAGGGCTGAGAGAGAGCGCCTGTCCAAATGAGGCGCCCCAGGCCCCCACACCCTCCTAGGCCGCTGGGTTCCCTTAACTCGCAGGAATTAAGATAAACGTGTTCTTCCTTGGGAACCAAGTGTCTCTCCTCTCCTCACAAATTCCACTGACGTGAGAGACAGCCCTGTTCGCTTTGTTGCATCGTGCGGACATACACCCTCCTCCGAGTTCCCGGATGTGTCCTTCAGGGTCAGCGCTTGGGAAGTCCCCTCGCCGTGCTGTCTCCCTGCCCCCTGCTCCGTTCCCTGTGTGTGTGTGTGTGTGTGTGTGTGTGTGTGTCGAGGGGTAAAATGCCCCAGTGAACTATGGTCATTTGTTTGTTTTGACCTTTATGTTTTCCAGTACTTATTTCCGTGGGCCGTGTTGAAATTAGAACATCCCAGGGGGGCGTAAGGGGGGGACGTTAAACTATGCAGAAGGAGAGGTACTGCTTAATGTTTTCCATAACACAGGAATATTGAATAAACATCTCATTAAAGTCTTAAAAAACACTAATAAAACAACATCTGTCCCGCAAAAACATCGCCTCGTTACATGTGGATGCATATCTGTTTTTGATCTTCACCAATAAATACCGGATTAAAAATGAGTTTTAAGTAAATAACAGTTGAGTGTGAATTTAGCTGAGCACAGGTCATCTTGTTTTCATTCCTTGCCTTCTTTTAAATTGAGATTCTCCCTCCCCCCCTTTCCCCCCCATTCTTGCATTCCTTAACTCCATTTTCTCTCTCTCCTGTTTTGTTTGAACTTTAATATCTATGTTTCTGCTCTTGCAGGGGAACTTGGAAACTTTAGTGTACGTATTAACTCCAATTAGTTCTGAAGTTAATCAGTTCTAAATTTTCTCTGGACGTGTATTCGGGCTTTAGCATGCTTGGCGTGGTTGGGATTCTAGAATCTGAGGATTGGTGTCTTCCATTAATTCTGGGAGGGGAAAAATTTTCAGTCCTTATTTCTTCAAATCTCAACTCTTTATTGTTTTTCTTCTTCTGGAACTTCAGTTATACGCTCCCTGAAGCTCATCCTTCTACTCTCCAGGTCTCTAGACCTGTTTTTCATGTTTTGCTTCTATGCTGCATTCTGGGTAATTCCTTCATACTTTTTTTTTTTTTTTTTTCTAGTTCATTGACTACTTAGGACATTCATTGCTAGATCTACTAACTTTCCCTCGAGAATCTTATTGGGCAAATGGAAAAAAACAAAAACGTGGCTATTTAAACTTCCTTTTCGTTGTTATTCTTGTTAATCCTCACCTAAGGATATTTTCCCATTTATTATTAAAGAGAGTGGAAGGGAGGGGGAAAGACAGAAAGAAACATCGATGTGAGACAGACACACTGGTTGGTTGTCTCCCCAAACCCGGACCTGCAACTGAGTCACATGCCCTTGACTGGAATTGAACCTGGGACCCTTCAGTCCACTGGCCGATGCTCTATCCACTGAGCCACACCGGTTAGGGCATCTTTTTGTATCATTTGCCTGAAAGTCAGACTCCCCGAAGTTCAGATCAGGGAACATTTGTATTAAAAGCCATCAGAGTCACATAAACCTTTGTGTGGGTGGCACAGAGAGGCATCTGCACAATTTTACCATCTCCGGTTCGGGACAAGGGTTTATTCTCAGCCGAGGCCCTGACAGGTTGGGAATTGGCCAACGCTAAGTATGTGAGAACAGAGCAACGGGCTCCCTGTCACTCAGCGGCAACGCAACTCGCGCCGCCACCTGCAGACCCTTCGCAGCGCTCCCCCAGCTGCTCCAGCCCTCCCTCAGCTGCTCCAGCCCTCCCTCAGCTGCTCCAGCCCTCTCTCAGCTGCTCCAGCCCTCCCTCAGCTGCTCCAGCCCTCTCTCAGCTGCTCCAGCCCTCTCTCAGCTGCTCCAGCCCTCTGACACGCCCTGCGTCCTGTCTTCCAACTTCTCTTTTTTTCATGTTTTGCTAAGAATAGTTTGGCAATCAGATGCTCATCAAGAACCAGCGAGAACATCCCAGTGTGTCTCTGCCCCCCTTCTGTTTCTCTACCCTCCCCGGGTGGGGAGTGCTCGGCCCCCACCCCGGCCCCCTCTCCCGGGGGGGGGTACCCACCCCCCAAGTACCAGCATCTGCATGTCCGCTGTCGGTCCCCGACATCATGTCAAAACGCTCCCCTCGAAGGTGCATTTTGTCATCTGTCAGTTAGTGTTCCGGAACAAGGGGTCCCTCGTTAAATAAGTTTGGGGAGTAAGTGCCGGGGTAAGCAGATTCCATTGCTGCAGAATCGCTAAATGTCCTGGCAGGCACTCGAACGCCGCACCTCGGGGCCCCTCTTTGAAATGTTCTGGCCTCAGAAGCGCTCCCTCCAGGGAACAGCGGTGGAGCTGTGTCCTTCAGGACAGGCTCAGGGCAGTGCTGGCACACGACAAGGCGAAAGGCGCACACGCCTTGGACTCTGAGATATTCTGAACATGCCAGGCACTGCCTCACGCAACTGCGGGTATTTGCGTGTTTCCTGCTGTGTGCGACAGCCCTGTGAAAATATATAAGTGAATGTAATCACGCTTTAAGTTAAAAGTAGTTCTCAGGCCAGGTCAGTGTGGCTCAGTGGTTGGGCATCGACATATGAACCAAGAGGTCACGGTTCAATTCCCGGTCAGGGCATGTGCCCTGTGTGCAGGCTTGATTCCCAGTAGCGGGTGTGCAGGAGGCAGCTGATTCATGCTTCTCTCTCATCATTGCTGTGTCTCTTTCTCTTTCCTCTTCTCCCTTCTCTGAAGTCAATTAAAATATGTTTTTTAACAAAACAAAAGTTCTGTACAAGTGATCTCTACTCTTAACCATTTAAAAAAAAAAAAGGCAAATGCTGTTTTATTTTTTCACAGCATCAGCAAGAATTGTTGTTTTTGTAATTTTGAAATGACAATCCCCATTACTGAAAATCACAAGTGATTACAGCCAGCTTTTCCAATGGCATAATGCTGTGCAGGGACCTATGGGTAGAAACTTTCAGTAAATTTCTGAAAATATCTTCATTAATGTTTCTCATGTGAGATACACTTTGCTAAAATGAAAGAATTTCCTTAATCATTGTAGTGAAGTGGTATTTGGAGAGAATATTCAGCCATTTATACTGAATTAATGATTAAGTGCAAGCAACGAATCCTGTGAAGGTCTTCATTTATTGGCAGTGCTATTTACATAGGGAGGACCAAAAAGGGCTTGGAAAGCCCTTGAGCATCAGCCTTACCCGACTCACCAGCAGTGGCTTACCCAGCAGTGGCTGGCTGGTCCTAGTGGGGGGCAGGCTGTGGCTCTGGGGTGTGTGTGTGTGTGTGTGTGTGTGGCCTGCCTTTCAACCAACCCTGGGCACTCAAGCTTTGGCAAAAGATCCTGAATGATTTAAGTATTTCCCCCAGAATACAAAAATGTAAGTATTTTGCTTTTTGGATGACTACAGCAAACATATGCTTAACGTGAGTTCTTCAACTTGGGGCTCATTTGGGGATTTCCATTTCTTTACAGTCTGCAAATGAATTATCATCACAACCGTGGGCCTCATTTTCCTAAAAGCATCTTACATTGTACTGAAAAGATGACATTCTTTGGGCTTTGGAAAAATATTTCCAGTTTAGTTGCAGCCATTAAAGCCTGTTAGCATTTCACATCGGGACTGGAAGCCCCTGTCCGGGGTCTGCCTTCCATCACCGCCAAGTGAGTGGCGGGCCGGCTCGGCCTCCAGCGCATGCGTAAGACGCCAGACTCGGTCACTTCCTCGGTCCCTCTGCTCTGCCCAGCTGTGCTCTCGTGGTTTTGCTGTTGAACCTCACATCTCCTTGGGGTGGTGCCAACCCTGACATCAGGAATGCCTTTTATTATTATTATTATTTGACTTCAGAGAGAGGAAGAGGGAAAGAGAGAAAAACATTGATGTGAGAAATAAGCATCAGTTGGTTGCCTCTGTACACGCCCTCACTGAGGGTTAAACCCGCAACCTATGCCCTGACCAGAAATCAAACCTGCCACTTCCTGGTGTACAGGATGGGGATGACACTCGAACCCGTGGAGCCACCCGGCTGTAATCACATTTTTCAGTAATGGGGATTGTCATTTTTAAGTTATTTAAAGTCTTAATAACAATTCTTGCTGATGCTGTGAAAAAAATTAGAAAATAGCATTTGCCATTTAAAAAAAAATGTTTTAGATACCACTTGTACAGAATTTTTGTTTTATCTTTTAAAAATGTATTTTTATTGATTTCAAAGAGGAAGGGAGAGAGAGAGAGAGAAAGAGAGAAGCATCAACGAAGAGAGAGAATCATGGATAGGTTGCCTCCTACACGCCCCCTATAGGGAATCTGCAGTGAGAATAAATTGTAAAGTGTTCTTTTGGGTGCTTTTAAAAAAAAAAAAAATATATATATATATATATATATATATATATATATATATATGTTGATTTTAGAGGAGGGGGAGAGGGAGAAAGAGAGAAACATCAATGATGAGAGAGAATCATTGATTGGAGCTCACAACCCAGGCACGTGCCCTTGACCGGAATGAAACCTGGGACCCTTCAGTCTGCAGGCTGACGCTCTATCCACTTAGCCACACTAGCTAGGGCTTTCTTTTTTTTTTTTTTTTCTCCAAGAAATAAATAATTTCCCCTTTCACAAAAGAGTCAAACTGCTGTCATTTCTTTTCTTGCCTTCTCGTCCCCCCTCACAGGCATTTACCCGGTGGATGTTTTGGAAGATGACCCCGAAGGTCACCAGGAGGCAGCTCTGGCCTACTATGCCGCGCTGCGGGGAGGGGCACGGTCCGAGGCAGCCATCTTCTCTCTGCCCACCGGGGAGCAGGTATGTCTGATCCTCCTTGTCGGCAGAGAGCTCTGGGAACTCTCAATATTTATTAGAAAGTGCAGTGTTGGTGAGCGTGTGTCACAGAGTTAAGAGAAACGCCTTCTGGAGCGCATACTGTACAATTCCACCTTGAGAAGCAGAAGGGTTCCTGGATGGGGATTCTGGAGTCCCGGATATAAGGCCAGTTCTGCGAGGCAGGGAGCCCCACAGCCTGCTGTGAGTGCCATGTCTGCCGCTTACTAGCTGTGTGACCTTGGGCAGGTGTCTTGACCTCTCTGATCCTGGCATTCTCAGCTCCAAAACTGGGGCAGTGAGGAAACTTGCTTTGCACTGTGGTTAGGGAATTAAACGAGGTACTGTGAGGCCTGCCGCACACTTTGGCAAGCAACCTGCCCGCCTCACTCTTTCCTTATTCTGTTGTACCCTCCTCGGTTTTCAAGACGGACTTTGCCATGGAAATGTGTTGACCCTTGTGCTCAGGGCGCTGGGAGGCGTGGGCCACAACGAGAAGGCTTGGCATGCGGGCAGTCCCCAGTGTGAGTCAGGGACCCTGAATGCTGCCCGGTGCTCCTCTCATCCGTAAGCAAGCAGGCACCCCGCACGGAGGCTCTGTCCCAGCGGGGCCAGGGCCACAGATCTCTCGAGGCTGCTTACAGCGACCCGAGCCAGGGCAGCTGGCAGCCTGAGTGGCATGGTGGGTGGACACCAGGCTCATCCACAGACAGGCCCCAGGAGGACAGGCCCAGGAAAGCGTGTGTGGAGGGGAGACCGGAAGGTCTGTGCTGAGTCCGTGCTGAGCGGGTGGGCAGGTGACCGGGAAAGAGGCTGCAGTGAGGGCTCTGTCATGTGACCCTGTTCCCTTTGCATTCAGCCACGCGGGTCAGTTTTCCGGTTAGGTGTTGCCCTCATCCCGTCAGGTTAACCTCTGCGTTACAGCGACCTTCCAGCGAACCCCGGGCTCATTGAGAAGTGACTTCCTGTCTCCTACGATGAAAGAACCCAGCGGCCATTTTATCCTCTTTTCCCAGGTTAAACTGGAAGCTCCGTCCGTCCGCTTCTGCACGGTGCACCGGGACGAGCCTCAGCATAAACTGTTGGTCTTGGTCAGTCCGCAGGACACAGAGACGGGTGGGTAGTCCCTACTGGATTTCAAACTCGGGTTCATGCTTCCCGTCTGTGACAGTGGAACCAGAAACCTAGGAGGTGGCCGTGGCGCGCTGGGGCTGGGCTTAGAACAAGCAGAAGTGGCACCTTTTCAGTTTTTAGAGAGGAAACAAGGCATTCTTTCTACTCATGACACGTACTCATTACTTGTATTAAAGACTCTAGAGCCCTAGCCGGCTTGGCTCAGTGGATAGAGCATCAGCCAGCAGAATGAAAGGTCCCAGGCTCCATTCTGGTCAAGGGCACATGCCTGGGTTGCTGGCTTGGTCTCTAGCAGGGACTGTGCAGGAGGCAGCCGATCAATGATTCTCTCTCATCATTGATGATTTTGTCTCTCTCTCCTTCTCCCTTCCTCTCTGAAATCAATACATATATATTTTTTTAAAAAAGACACAAGATACACTCTTGGCCACAGTGACGGAGTTCAGGCCTGATTTTTTTTTTTAGATATATTTTTTAAATCAAACCGTGACCTCTGGTTCATAAGTCGACGCTCAACCACTGAGCCATACTGGCCAGGCATGTATGGTCCTTTTAATAAATTTAAAAACCCAAACCAACCCTTAACTACTAGTCAACCCTCCTTGAATGACATCTGGTGAAAGTGTGGGGTTTAGGTCTTTAACTGCAATTTGCAAAGAGGGCCTGATCAGATCTCTCTCTACACACACACACACACACACACACACACACAGACACACATACAAACTTGCCTTTCGCCTGCGTGTTAGTCTGGGTCTTGCGGTCTGGTGATATTCTTGAACCAGAGGAAGGTATCTCGTTGTCAATCTGAGACTCAGGTGCTCAGCTGGCTGCGTGGGGGTTGCAGGCGTGTTGACTGTGAGCCTGGGGTGGCTGAGCTGTGTGTGACGGCTTCCCCGTCAAGGTTAGGACATGCGTTTCCATCTGGCAAAACCCGGTCTCCATGCACAGAGGGTCTGTGCTGAACACCAGGCCTTCACCACGGCCTTGAACTTGGACTCCAGCTCCAGGCTAGAGACAAGGAACAAATTAGTGACACGGCGTGCCCGCAGGAACCCCTCGGCGAACAGATTGTCAGACACGCCCCGAATGTCATGTGCCGACTTGAAGAACACATCCAGATTCCAGCAGGCCGCCCTCCCCTCGCTCCCTCCCCCCCTGGCCTTTTTTCAGCATTTAATAATATTCGGGTGTAGGTCTTTAGCTATAGTTTGCATAGCGTTAACATATGACCGACCCTGGCGAATCTGTTTCCTATTAATTCCTTAATTTGTTGGTTGTTTTCAAGAATGTAGTATAGTAAATATTCATCAGCTCCGAGAAGGCCCGCTCCGAGCCTCTCCTTCTACGGATGACAGGCTTTAAAACAGAGTTTCCAGATGTTTCCCCGAACCGCGGGGGCTCTGCCGTGGTAGCTGCGATTTCTGCGAGATTCCCAAAAGGCATCTCGGGGTCCCCGCCCCTCGCTCATCTCTCCGTTGGTCTCCAGAATCAGACACTCAGTGTTAAGCGTGCCTCCGTAGCTTGAAGTTGGTGGACTTGGCAGGGGCCCGAGGTGGCACAGCGCCTCGGCACAGCTTTCAACATGTGTCTTTTCACCGCGTGCTTAGCCATGACCGTGGAGGTCACCTGATGGTTGCTCTGAATTGCCTGGAGCTGTTGTATTTGCAAAGGCGGTGTGTGTGTGTGTGTGTGTGTGTGTGTGTGTTCATGGTTAGATGGAAATGAAAGGAGAAGGGCTGATCCATAAGCCCCGGTGTGAGCGAGCGTTTGATAAGCTGGTGGAGTCCATCCCAGGGACTCCCCATAACCCGCTGAGCAAAGGAAAAGCATCCGTGCTGCGAGTTTCCTGGCTCAGCGCCGACTGCTGGTAAGATGTGGGTACTGCAGCTTCCCAGCCCCCTTAAGAAGCTGGGCAGGCGCTTCCCAAACAGGTTGTCGGAGGGCACCCCGCCCTGAGCCCCCTTTGAGCCTCCTAGTTCCAAGCTCCCGATGACACCATTGCTCCTCCTGGCTTTGTCAGGAGGGATCCAGTTGCCTACATCTTCTAGAATCTTCCCTTCCTAGAGGGTGTTTGGTGGGTCCTCCTTAGCTCGCTCACAGGGGAGACAGGCGAGGGCAGGCGAGGTGGGGGGCTGAGGGACAGAAAGGACGCAGGTCTCCCGGAGAAGGGGGGCTAGGGGGGGAGGGGTTGCCACTTGCAGCCCCCCACCCCCACCCCAACCCTCGATTAGACCGTGTCTCCCTCCTTCCCCCCTACCTCCCCACAGCCCTCCTCCAGGACGCTCTGTGCCTGAACATAGCTCTCGTCCTTCAAATGGCTGCTCTGTTTTTTTTTTTTTCCGTGTCTGGCGATTGCATGTCATATGGTCCCTGAGACAAACAAGCAGGGAGTCAAAAAATGATGGCTTTTTCTTGGAAAAGCATTCCCATTACAGGCCTCGGCGACGGCAGAGCCAAGGCAAACATTCGGAGGAGGCTGTCCCGGGCCTGGGCCTGGGCCTGGGCCTGGCGGGATTGCGACACCCAGGGCCCGGGGCCAGGCCTCCCAGGGGCTGCGTTTGGGGCAGGTGGTGGTGGTGGTGGGTCAGGAGGGGTGGCGGGTGGAGAGTGAGGGGTGCCCCTGGGAACTTCAGAACCTTGGGAGGCCCTTTCTGTGACGCCCCAAAAGGGTATTCATGCTGGAAACAGAATTCTGTTTCCCGGGGGGCTGGGAGGGGCCGATGGGAGGGCCGTGCGCAGTGACGGCTCCGTCCTCCAGGAATACCCGCTGGCTACGGTTCCTTCTTTGTCCCCTGCTAACTTATGGCCCGGGGTTGGGTTTAAACGCAGGAGAAACAGCCTCCCACCAACAAGGTCATTCTTACAGGGGACCGGTGGTATTCGGAGCGCAGGGACGGGCCCGGAAAGTATCCCGAGTGTCAGGGGTGGATTCCGAGCGGGCGGTCGTATCCAGCTGCCTGCTGGCCACCCTCCCCCGCGCGTGTCTGCGTGTGTGTTTATCCAAGTGGCTCAGTGGTGAGTGTCGACCTATGGACCCACACAGGTCAGCGGTTTGATTCCCGGTTGGGGCACAGGCCTGGGTTGTGGGCTTGACCCCCCCAGTGTGGGGCGGTGCAGGAGGCAGCTGATCAATGATTCTCTCTCATCATTAATGCTTCTCCCGCTCCCTTTCGGAAATCAATAAAAACATATTAACTTAAAAAAAAGGATGGAGCCGGAGTCTGGGGGTTGGAGGTGTCTCGAGGCTTTTGAGGTTTTGCCCCTGCAGCCTGGAGGCGCTCGCTGTGCGTGCCCTGGCCCAGCTCCTAACGAGGTTAGACCCCTTTCCTAGTGAGACTAGCTTTGGTGTGGGGTTCTCTCCGCCCCCCCCCCCCAATCTTGTAGTCCACATCCAGGCACCCCATCTTGCCCCATCTTCCTTGAGTTCCAATCGAGGCTCATGGCGGCCACATTGCTCGCTGCTGGAGAACCACAGGGGGGGGGCGGGGGCGGATGCTACGAGCCCACTGCGAGCCAGATGTTCCCTTCCCCGTGGCAGAGAGGGCTCCCTCTAAGGAAGACATCTGCGTGGAAATGGCAGCCCGCGTAACGCGATGTGACGGTCGCTATGTCCGCGCGTGTGTTTCCCGTCCCCGAGATGATTGACGGGCCGGGCCGGCGTTGGCGTGAAGCCCCACAGTCCTCCGAGCGGACGTGTGTTTTGCTTTTGCGAAGACGGCCCGTCGCTTTGGCTTAACTGTGCTGGGTTTTGGTGGGGAGGACTACATATTTCTCAGGTTTGTAATGGGGCCGGGGGAGCTGCCGGAGGCAGCAGGGGGGACTTGAAGCCTCTTCTGTTGTGATTGAGGAAGTTTTGATCACGGGCCAGTCCATGGACCACTCGCAGTCAGTGTGTGGAGCCTGTGCGTGTGTGTTCGTGCTTGTGTGTGCACACACTGTGCTCATGCATGTGTGTTTAGCCGTGTGTGTGTGTGTGTGTGTGTGTGAGAGAGAGAGAGAGAGAGAGAGAGAGAGGACTCCCTCCTCGGTTCCTGGGATGGGATGGGAATGGGCTTCTCTCTCTCTGCTCTGCTCAGCTCCGGCTGTGTGTCACCTGCCTGCTGGCCACCCTCGCCCAGTGACGCCAGAGACCAAGCTGGGGGCCTTCCAGGCCACTTGGGCTCCCAGCTCCACCCCACACCTTCCGTGCCCTGCCCCGCGCTGGAGGGCTGGGTCAGTCTCTTCCTGTTCCGGCTGCCAGCACCCAGGGCGAGGACGGGCGCTGGGACAGCACGTTCATGCCTCCGGGAGCTGAATTCAGTGGCTCGTGCGGAGCCTCCGGGCAGCCGGGGCCCTGGGAGTTGGCCTTCGGGACCCCGCTGTCTGTACTCGTTTGGGGAACCTTGGAGGGTCCCAGAACGAAATCCGTTCCTGGCGTCTGCTCTGTGGCCGCATCACCTGTCCCCCCTGGGGGACAGGGAGAAGGAAATTAAATTAGTTCAGCAAGGCTGCCCTCCCTGACGAGGCGGGCCCAGCCGATGGCTGTCAGCGCTGCGCACGCTGTCGGCTCGGGTACCTGGTGTCTGGAGCCAGGGCGCTGGTCAGAATCGCATTTTCCCTGCAAAACCATCTTCTGACTCTGCCATCCTGCTGGCCCCCGGGGTCTCAGGAGCCCTAGGCGGGGTCTGCAGCGTGTCAGCCCAGCTCTGCGCCCACCCGTTCCCGTCCAGCCCCACAGAACTCTGTCCCAGGGCTGTGCCGCGTCCCTGCTTCCTGTCGCCTCTCAACTGGGTATCCTGCTTTTCTGACCAAACGCCGCCACTCTCCACAGGGCTGGTTCTACTCCCCAAGAGCCATTGTTGTTGTTTTTAAATATATTCTTATTGATTTCAGAGAAGGAAGAGGGAGAGAGAGAGAGAGAGAGAGAGAAACATCAATGAGGAGAGAGAATCATTGATCGGCTGCCTCCTGCACGCCCCACACTGGGGATGAGCCCGCAACCCGGGCATGTGCCCCTGACCGGGACTCGAACCCTGACCTCCTGGATCCTAAGTCGACGCTCAACTGCTGAGCCAGGCCAGTTTGGAGGACGCTTTACTTGAGGCCTGTTCTCCGTTGTTCGGTAGCAGCTTAAGATTCACTTTGAAAACACTTCCGTCTCTTTGGTGACAGCGTGGGAGACTACTGAATGCCCTGCCCCCACCGTGGCACTTTCCAGGCAGCGCCCAGACACCCAAGGCCTAACGGCTCTCCTGTTGGAACGTCCTAGGACAGCCAGCATCTGCGTGACAGCAAGACTCTCTTAGCTAATTGGACGTCTCTTACTGATCCACCTTGTTAAGCAAGAAGCAGAATCCTTGGGGCTTTCTAAGGCTCCTGTGTCTTCCAGGAAGGGCCATTCTGAACATGAATTTCATGGAATTAATAAGGCAGATGTCAGGCATTTAATTGGCCCTTCTCTCCCAGCCGGCTCCGTCCATCTGGGGACTGAGGTTGGGATGGTGCAATTCGCCGGTGACATGCAACTGACGTGTGGATTAGATGCTGCTGGTCTTTAGCGAGAAAGTTATGTGTGGTAACTGGCTGATACACAACTGGTCTTCACAGAGCTTCCCACCAAGCTTCCTCAAAGGGCAGAGACACTTAGGGAGAACCGTGGCGGCAGCTTACCCGAAAGGCCCACATCTGCTTTCGTTTTCTCCCCCATGCTGCCATTTTCCTCCCAGTCGTCAGCTGCCAGAGTCTGACTGGGAGGATGTATCTTCTTATTTCGTTGCTTCTGGACCCCCTGGGCTCAGACACCTGGCTTGAGAAGCAGGTTTCAAAATGGCAAGAAGCCCAGTCAGCATGGCTGGGTGGTTGAGTGTTGACCTATGAGCCTGGAGGTCACAGTTCGATTCCTGGTCAGGGCCACATGCCCAGGTTGTAGGCTTGATCCCCAGCGGGGAGCATGCAGGAGGCAGCCGAACCATGATTCTCTCTCATCATTGATGTTTCTATGTCTCTCTGCATCTTCCTTCCTTTCTGACATCGATAAAAATATATTTTAAGAAAATAGCCGAGACCGGTTTGGCTCAATGGATAGAGCGTCGGCTTGGGGACTGAAGGGTCCCGGGTTCGATTCCGGTCAAGGGCATGTACCTTGGTTGCGGGCATATCCCCAGTAGGGGGTGTGCAAGAGGCAGCTGATCGATGACTCTCTCTCATCGATGTTTCTAACTCTCTATCTCTCTCCCTTCCTCTCTGTACAAAATCAATAAAATATATTTTAAAAAAAAGAAAAAGAAAATAAAAATGGCGGTATAAGGAGTATAGAGACAATACCACAGGAGAAATAAATGGTGGTGCGTCCATCCGTCGGAATAGCACTCAGTGCTAAAAAAAGGATGTGGAGAAATCAGCCATGAAAAGACACGGAGAAAGCAGAAACGCCCACCACCCGTAACCTTTCCCTTGAACGGCAACGTGCTGGCGGCGTGCGTGTCATCGCCTCCTCTTGGCTTCCTCTCCAGTCGTGGCTGTGTACCTGAAGGGCGCCTGGTGGGCCACCGAGGACGTGCTGAGGACCTCCGACCCCGCCAGAGATGGCCTGATGGAGGTGAGCGCTGCTGGTTTGGAATCATCATGCTATCAACCATGTAAATTCCCCTGACCCTTTAATTACTTGTTGTTTCTTAGCTAGCTCTTCTCCACCAGCTACCAAAAAAAAAAAAAAAAAAAAAAAAAAAAAAAAAAAAAGCCTGCTTCATGTTCTTTCCATTCCCATAAGTTAGTGGTCCTAATTGAGGGATTAGAATGAGGTCTTATTTTTGTGTTTCCGGAAACGTTTCTAAAAAGTCAGCATCTCATTCCCCACATTTTTTCCCGACCCCCCCCCCCGCCACCCCCCCCCCTTCCCCCCGTCATGAACCTGCACAGATTAAATGCATTTTCTTTCTCTCCTCTTCTGCTGCCAACTTTTGACTGGATGTTGACTGGAAGTCGACAATCATAACCTCCCACATCACACCTGCTGGGTGTAGTTATGCTTAACTGTGAGATTGATTTGGCTGTCGCTGTCTGAGATACCAAATTGGGGTGGCTTCTCAGAATTGGCTGGTGTGGCCCGGCCAGTGTGGCTCAGTGGTGGAGCATCGACCCAGGAACCAAGAGGTCGCCGGTTGATTGCCGGTCAGGGCACATACCGGGTTGCAGGTTCGAGCCCCAGTAGGGAGCCTGCAGGAGGCAGCCGGTCCATGATGCTCTTCTGATCAATGTTTCTATCTCTCTATCCTTCCCCCTTCTTCTCTCTCTAAAAATCAATTTTTAAAAAAAAACCACATATTTTTTTAAAAAAGACTTTAGCCGGTGAAGTTTTCACAAATCTTTTTCTCATCTAAGATTTGGCTCCAGATAAAGGTGAAATATTTCACATTCTGGGCCAATTAATAAGTTTATTGGCTCTGAACACTTTGTACCATTTGCTGGGGATTCTGCAAGCTGCTGCCTTCTTATGAGCAGAGCAGTTGGAAAACAGACTAATGTTTTAGACGCCACTGAAGTGGTCTTATCCCTAGACTTGCTAAGGAAACTGAGGCTCAAAGAGATTGTGAGATGCAAATATAGGCCAAGAAGCCATCATTTGTTGTTGATGATGATGAAGAAAATGTAAGGGTCAAGTGTTAAATACAACACCCAGCCCCGCCAGCGTGGCTCAGTGCTTGAACATCAACTTACCAACCAGGAGATCACGGTTCGATTCCCGGTCAGGGCACATGCCTGGGTTGCAGGGGGCAGCCTATCAATGATTCTCTCTCATCACTGATGTGTCTACCTCTCTCCCCCTCTCCCTTTCTCTCTGAGATCAATAAAAATATATCTTTAAAAACACACATACACAAAAACCCCAACATCAACAGTTGTCTGAAACTCCCCTTTCCCAGAGTCTCAGTTCTAATGGGTGACATGCAGGAGGCAGCCGCTGGCCGGCTCAGCAGGTGCACCGGCCCGGCCTGTCCGTGGGCCTGCCCGTCTCTGCCGAGTCCCCAGCCGGCTGCCATCGCCCTCTGCAGTGAGGCAGGAAATCACCCGTCCTCTCTGAGCTTCGGGTTCCTCACCCGGCGGGTGGTGAGAACCGAATGGCAGCAGGTGGGGCCGCCGGGTGTGAAGTGGAACCAGTGACGGGTGTGAAGGTCACGGGAAACCATGCACATCGTGGCCTCGGGCATGAAAAGAATCCTGGGTGGATCGGGGCCGAGGGCAGGACTCATCGCATCTGCTTCCCCCTCCCGCCTCACCTGCCCTTCCTGCTTTCCTTCCAAGGTCCAGTCGTCTGGGGAAAGGATCGTGCTGTTCATCCTCAACGTGGTCGTTTTTGGACGGCTGGAGAGGAGCTTGGATGACGACGCCATGTTCTTTCTGCCTCACTCCGCGAAGGAGCAGGCTAAAATCCTGTGGCGCGACGGAGCAGCCGTCGGATTTTACACAACCAAAGCGAAAGGTGAGGGGCCGGGCCGAGCCACGGGGCTCTCTGGGTCAGCGGTCGCCACCCGGTGGTCCGTGAGGCCCGAAAGGTTGGCCACCGCCCCTCTGGGTGGCCTCCTGCCTCCGAGGGGCCCTCCAGCACAGCCTGGCGTGGGGAGACCCATCAGTGTGTCTCTCTCTCATCGACGCTTCTCTCTCCGTGTGTCTCTCCCCTTCCCTTCCGCTCTCTCTGAGAACCAGTAGGAGAAATGGCCTCCGGCGAGGATGAACAGAACTAAAATAGCGGTGGCTGACAGTCGGTCAGCAGGAGACCTGGTGGGCGGGTTGCGGGGAGATGGCCTTGGCTCTAGGGGCTGGTTTGTGAACACGGCACCTGAGACCTGGCCTTGCAGGGTCCCGGCAGGTGGGTGCGGGCCCAGGGGACATTCTGTGTCTTGGTTTCCGCCCAGGCAGCCTGTGCGGCGACGGCACGGGCTCGTGCTACCTGCTGCCCGTCCTGGACACCGTGTTCGTGCGGAGGCGGCACCGGGGCCAGGGCCTGGGCGTGGCCATGCTGCGGGACTTCTGCGAGACCTTCGGGGACGACGAGGCCCTCGGGGTCAGCTGGCCCATCTCTCCTGCCATGTACCGAGGTAAACGCCTCCCCTCCCCCCCCCCACCGTGTCCGGGAGACACGTGTGGGCGCCGTCATTCCAGGTGGCACACGTGGCTGGCCTCTCCCTTCTGAGAACCCGCTTGTGGCTTGAGCACAGACGAGCCTGTGTCACCAGGGCCCCTCTCCTCAGTCTGCAGGAGGTTCCTGCTGGCCCATCCGGAGGAGCGGGCGCGCCTGTGGGAGGTGGAGGCCCCGGGAGCCTGGGGCCAGCGAGGCAGCATCTGGCTGAAAGTCCAGCTCCAGCAGGCGGGGCCCCGGGGCCCGGAGTCGGCGTGAAGCGTGCGCTCGGGTCTCCTCACCCTCAGGTCTCCGCCGAAGCCCAGGTCCCTTTTCAGGACGGAGTCCGGCCCGCGGGGGACGCAGCCGCCGCAGCACCGGGTGCTGGCCTCTTGTCCTCCCCCCACCCTCCCTCCCTGAGTGAGCCAGACGCCCACCCCCCCACGGCAGCCCCTGAGCGGATCACTGCGACCCAGAAGGCGTGAATGTCCTTGTCCAGCGGGAGCTCAGTTGGGACATACTATGTCAGAAGACACACAGGGCTGACTGTGAAGAGCTGGCCGCTTGCCCCCGTCCTTGGGGAGAATCAGAAAAAGGGGTTGGCCCAGCCAGCGTGGCTCACTGGTTGAGCTTCGACCTATGAACCAGAAGGTCACGGTTTGATTCCAGTGAAGGCACATGGCCAGGTTGTGGGCTCAACCCCCAGTAGGGGGCGTGCAGCGGGCAGCTGATCCATGATTCTCTCCCATCACGGATGTTTCTGTCCCTCCCTCTCCTTTCCTCTCGGACATCAATAAAAAGATATATTTAAAAGGGGAGGGGAACATCCCATAAACGACATTCTGCAAACGAGGCGCTGGGTCTTTCCGCGGGCAGCGTGGGGTGAAGTCGTGGGGAGAGACGTCCTTGTCTACAGGCTCACACCCTGTCTTCAGTTTGGGGTGTTACCACGGAGATTGCCGGTGGGGTTCCTACGGGGGTGTTTGCCTGGTGGCTCCCACGGGCAGGCGGGTGGGGAAAGGAAGACCTTTAGCCAGAGGGCAGCGCAGGGCGGCAGACGCACCCTCTGTGGGCCTCCCCGTTGCTTTTTGCCAGTATCCCTCCCGCCTTGCAGGCTGTTACAGCTCGGCCCTGAAGGGGAGGCCCGGGGCAGGGCTGGATTGGGTGCGGGGCCTCCGAGCTGCCAGTGTGCGGCTGTGGGGAGACTGGGGAGGTGCTGATTAAACCCACTGGCCAAGGGGAAGCGTTGGCATCCTTCCCTCGCGGTGCCCATGCCCGTCAGCATCAGAGCCACCCCCGAGGCAGCGGGAGCTCATCAGAGGCGGCGGCCGCTGAGACCTGGCTCCGTCTACCCCCAGCTTCCCTCGGCCGGTGACAGGGAGAGCGCCTGGAGTTTATTGGTGATAATAGTGACCGTTTGGGCTTTTACGGGCCTTCCAGCGAGAAGGCTTAATGGGTCTTTACAGACGTGAATGGGGGAAGCAGGCACCTGGGAAGGAGGCCACGGCAGGGCTGTGGCTGGGATCCGAATGAGGCGGCTCCGTGGCTTGCCCTGTGACATTGAGCGCTAGGCAGGCAGGCAGGCGAGCCTCCTGGAGCCCCCGCTGAGCTGGCCGCTGGGTTTGTGGGCAAATGAAACCCGCAGCCTGCAGCTGTCCAAGGTCGCAGTTCCTTGGAGCTGGGGGTGGAGGTGACTGATGGCTCGCATATCAGGAATGGAATGGAAGCGTGGACACCGTGCAGGTGGAGGGGGCACAGGGCGAGGACGTGTCTGCATAATCGGGAGATGGCGTCCTCTCAAGAGAATTGCATGGGGGTAGGCGGGTGTAGGGGCGGGAGGGGGAATCTGTTATTTCAGGATCCGAGTTGGCCCGGCCTGGTCAGCAAACCTGGCTGAAGTCATACACCAGAGCTGCCACTTTAACTCAGGCCGAGATTCACCAACTCTCTCTCTTTAAATCCGCAAATGAGGCGACTCTGACGGGGAGTGTTCCAGAAGCACGCATGAGCCCTTGAAGGAAGAAGGGGCATCATTATAATCAGGGTGTAATTAGATTATAGAGGCTCTTCGTTAAAAAGGTTTTTAAGTTAAGGCCCTTCACTGCCTGTGAGATCAACGTTGGTTCCCAGTTCCCCCGGCTCTGCCTCCCAGGGCCAGGAGGCTCTTAATTCACTCGGGGGGGTGGGGGGGGGGCGAGAGGAGTGGGTATTCGGCCACCCAGCTTCACCCTGCAGCGGTTTTGTCCGTCAGCGCTGACATTTCCGGGCTGTTCAGTGGTGAGTGAGGGCCCAGACGCCCAGCACTTCCTCCCTCATCGGCTTCTCCCCCCGTGGAAATGGGCGCAAGGAAGACTCCGTGGAAATAGGCGCAAATGAGCCAATGCAGACTCCGGGGTCTTCTCTTCCCCGGAAACCATTAGACAACCCAGCGTGGTTTTAGTTTTTAACCAGTTTTTCTTGGAGTTGCTTTATTGACTTATTCTGGTCTCTGGGCTCTATCCTTTTGTCCCTTTATCCCAGAGCGTGATTTTGGAGGTTCCTATCGTGTCCTGTGCCTTAGAAATAAGCAGGAAATAAGCAGTGGAGCCAATAGTATTTTATTTTGAGAGCATGGAGGGGAGGGAGCAGGAGAGAAACATTGATTGGTTGCCTCCCGCACATGCTCTTGACCCTCACACCCCAACTGGTGCTGGGGATCGAGCCTGCAGCCCAGGTGTGTGCCCTTGACCAGAGTCAAACCCAAGGCCCTACTGTCCTAACCACTGAGACAAACCAGCCAGGGCCCGATAGCTTTCTATGTGGAAGGAAGGCTTGGCCATTCCTCGGCCTTCCAGAGGGAAACTGGTCTTCCCTCCAAATGCTCTCAACTCTGTTCCTGTTCCATTTGTGGACGGGGCTTTTAAAGTTTGCATGATCCCGCCTGTGGGAACATCTGGGGCTTATCATGGACGTGGAAGTATTTATGGGGTTATTCTGATCTTTTGAGAGGAGTTTGTGGGACATGTCTTTCTCACTACACTCGGTTGCATACGAAGCCTTTGAAACTTGACCAATAGGATCATAACTCTCTGAGCTGGCACTCCCCTGCTAGCTGGCACATACCTAGGCTTCTCTACTCGGGGAGATGAAATTGAATATGCCACCAGTTCTTTTACAGAAACGTTGCTGGAGGCAGAAGATAATTGCACACAGCTTTAAAAATTAATGTTTTCATTCTTAACAGTTTTGCTTTTTTTTTTTTTTTTTTCAGGTGAATTTTTAATAGATTCAATTGCCATCCACGGGGGAAATATTTTTCTGCCATTTATATCACATTTTTAAAGCTGGGGGGAGTGTATAAAGGACGTGTGGACCGCCTGGGCTGGGAGTGGGGCCATTTTCTTCATCTTGTCTCAGCTGGCCGGTACACAGTGCGACAGCAATAGCGATTTAATGGAAGCTCTGCTGGGAAGGCAGAGAGCAACCTGCACGCTGGATGGGTTTTCCCCGGCTCTTGCTGCTCTCTGAAAGGCTCTGTCTCCCTCTGGTGGCCATCGTAGCCCACTGCATCCTGCATGACAACTTGTGATGTTTGCCATTGACCTGTTGGGTTGCTTCTCAGATTCTTAGCCTTGAGTTCAAATTTGTGCATTCATTAAACACACACACACACACACACACACACACACACACACACACACACACATTAATGAACTTTCACTGGTTAGGAATAAAATACAAGTGAGCATTTAACAGCAACTAATAGACTTTAGTCCATAATACAGAAAACTGATTTCACACATCAGGAAAGGTAGAAAAAGTGATACTGGGTGACCTACTTCATTCATTCACTCATATATTTGCTCATTCGTTCCATGGATTGCTGTTACTGGAGCACCTTCCGACACTAGGCATTGTTGGCAGTGATGGGGATGGATGCATCGTAAGGCGGACAGTCTCTGAACTCATTGGTGAGCTTATGTTTTTGTGAAGAACATCACACAGGCAGCTCCTACCGTATTACATAGAAATTACGATGCCTGGCCAAGTGGCTCTGTGGCTGAGCGTCGACCTGTGAACTAGGTCACAGGTGAATTCTCAGGGCACATGCCCAGGTTGCAGGCGTGATCCCCAGTGGGAGGCAGCCCACCTATGATTCTCATCACTGATGTTTGTTTCTTCCTTTTTACCTCTCAGAAATCAATACACACACACACACACACACACATACTCTGAGTGGCCAGATTATTATGATCTCTGAACGCATAATAATCTAGCCACTCAGTGTGTGTTAGAGGCCCAGTGCATGAATTCGTGCATGGGTGAGGTCCAGCCAACCTGGCCAGGGGGAGGGGACATGGGCAGTTGGTCAGCCTGCCTGCTGGTCGAACTCCTGGTCAAGGGGACAATTTGCATATTAGCCTTTTATTCTATAGGATATAAACTGAGTGGCAGGATTATTATGTGTTCAGAGATCATCATAATCTGGCCACTAGTGTGTGTGTGTGTGTGTGTGTGTGTGTGTGTTTGTATAGGAAGGAAATGGACATATACAACATGAATTTAAGGACATTATGCTAAGTGAAATAAGCCAGTCACACAAAAAGCATTCTCCTTACATGAGGTATCCATTCAAATGCATAGAAACAAAATAGGTGGCTGCCAGGGGCGGGAGGGAGGAATGGGAGTTACCGAGTTTAACAAGGACAGAGTTTCAGTTCGGCAAACCAGTGTGAATGTCCTTCCTGCTGCTGAACTGGACATGTGAGAAATGGTTCACATGCTGCATTGTACATCGTGTATTAGAATTAAAACGTGCTCTTTAAGAGGGCTGTTATGAAATGCTTAAAACGTGTAGTGTACAAATTCATAGCTCTCGTGTTCTTACCACCACTTCCCCAAGCATCACGGTGAGAGCCGCCCACCGTGAGGCCAAACTCCCAGCAAGACTGGGCGTCCCAGCACTGCCCCCCATTCCTCCATCAGGCCTCCCCCTCCTCACTTGAGGAGTCACAAAAAGGCAGCTTCACGCTTTTCCGATTGTTTTATTCCAGAGCAGTGCTGCAGCGATGCTGACTCAGAACCATCTGTTTCTAGAGCACGAATAACAGCCTCATCTCCCTCTCCCACAGACAAAGGAACAGGAGCCGCTGCCCAGCTGTGCGTCTAGACTGTTGAGGAATCCAGAACACGGAGCTGGAGCCGCGCCAGCCGGGCCGTGACTCAGCCACTCCCCGCGCTGCAGTAGGGAAGGAGATGGAGACTGCTGGGCCTGCAGCCCGGGCACGGTACTGTGGCCGTGGGTCTCCTGGCCCCGCCGCTCTGCCCAGACCCCCTGAGCAACCACAGCCACCTCCGCACACAGCAGAGGGACCCAGATGACACTGGGGTCACCCAGCGTGGAGAGCGGGGTGCCCTCCCCACAGGGCCCTGCCCCACCTGCTGGAGCAGCCGAGCGAGGACAGTTAACCCTGAGCCAGGGCCAAAGTCCTTCCACCGGGGCGTGTCCGGGCGTTACCCTGAAGCGGCTGACACGGATCCTTCGGGGACAGCAGCGGCTCACATGGATCTGGGCCTGCGTGTGCTGGGCACCGTGCTGTGGGCCGGCATTCCGTCCTCATACCCACCCTGAGGTAGGTCATCCCATCGTCCCCACATTACAGGCTCCGGAGAGAAGCCACACAGGTGCCCAAGGTCTCAAAGCTACCAAGTGACAGAGGCTCAAAGGTCTGATTGACCTGAGCTTTGTTACCCCTGTACCCCAAATGGAAATTTGGGGGAAACCCAGCCACCACTGTGATTGTCAAAGTGCCTGAAGGAGGGCGGGCTCACTCCTCACTGCCAGAACCCCAGCCGATACCCACCCCACTCCCCCGGGGTGGGAGTGACAGCCTGAGACAGTCCCTTGCACAGACCCTGCTCCCACGGCCCTGGAGCTGGTCCACTGGCCATCTCCTGGTGTCCGTAAAGTGCCATCAGCAAAACCAGGGGCTTGAGGGTGACTACAGCCCTGAAAAGAGCTGGTACTGAGGGGACGGGACCAGGTGACGTGCCAGTGCCCTCCTGACCCCACTCCCCAACCGGAGGCCACCCTGAGCCTCTCCTCCTCACGCCCTCCGGTCCTGCGTCTGCCCCTGCGCCCCGCCGGCGCCCGGGCCCAGGTCCTCGGGCCAGTACTGGTCCTGCATGTACTGCTCCACGTCCGGGCTGCTGTCGGGCTCCCTGTCCTCGGGGCGCGTCCAGAGGCGGCCGGCCTCCTGCTCCCACGGCCCCTCCACCAGCCGGTACAGCTCCATGGCCGTCACGGCGTCTTCCACGGACGAGTGTCCGTGTTGGCCCACCTGCGGACGAGAGCGCATGCGTCAGTCCAGGCCAGATGGGCAGGATGGCGGTGTCCACGGGGCGTGGGTTTTCCAGGCAGAAGCGCAGGAACCTCAGCCATGGCAAAGCCAGCTTCTAGCTGGTTCCCTCAAATGTAAACGAGATAAAAATCGCCGCCCTGGGCTTGAAGAGCAGGGGGACATGGAGGTGACGGACAGCAGGAGCAACAGTTAGGAGCTGCCCTACCCAAGGCTTCATCTCTGGTTGCAAAGGCAGGCACCGAGCCTGGAGCTGTGGGGACAGACCCGGAGAGGGGAGCCTGTAAGAGGTGTACCCCGGGAAGAAGGGGGCTGCGGAGGAACCCCCCAGGGCTGCGTGGGGCCCACCTGCAGGGAGGTTAGGCCTGCTTGCTCCGTCCCCCCAAACCCCAAACACACACACACACAAGCACCTGGATTTTCTTGTGCAGCAGCTGCTGGGCCAGCTCCTTAAGCGAGACGCGGGCGCGGGTGTGCAGGCCGGGCTGGCTGAGGAGGCTGGGGACGTAGGTGGTGTCCCGGGTCTGGCTCCGAGGGTGCACGTACTTGAGGGCCTTGAAGTCGTTGTGCAGGGCGTGTCCCACCACCACCTTGCCCTTGAGGAGCTTGAGGATCTGTGGGCGGAGAGGGGAGTCAGGGAGACCCCACTGTGGGCAGTCCGTGCAGATCCCTCTGGGCTCAGTCCACCACGCTGCCAAGTGCGAGCCCAGACCTGTACCTACTGCTTAAATACGCAGGGTCGCCCGGCCAGTGTGGCTCAGGGGTTGAGCGTTGACCTATGAATCGGGAGGTCACAGTTTGATTCCCGGGGCACATGCCCGGGTTGTGGGCTCGATCCCCAGTAGGGGGCGTGCAGGAGGCAGCTGATCCATGATTCTCATCATTGATGTTTCTATCTCCCTCGCCTTTCCTCTGAAATCAATAAAATATATTTTTTTTAAATGCAAAATGTCCCAGCATGACCGTTACATTAGAGCACGATTTGAGTACGTGTGATTTTTGCCCTTGAGAAACACTAAGTGAATGCAGGAGGCCACACTCGGTGAACTGAGCCTCGGGGGAAGGCACACCCCTCAGACACCCCCGTAGGGAGCTCTGGTCACCTGTGTGAGGCCACAGCCCCCTCACCTGTGTCCCCACTTCCCGTGTGATTTCAGGTGACTTCCTGGATCACTGCGTCGGAACACAAGCTCAGCCCTTCTGACAGCTGCTCCACGAGGAAGCTTCCGGTCTCTTTCAAGGTAAAGTGCCACCCTTAATGGGTGCGTGCTGGTATTGGCTGTGTGCACGCACTTCTTAACCGTTTAACATTGCCAAACTGGGTACCGCTGCCCGGTGTGCAGGCCAGGCCTTTTTATTTCTGCTGCGTCGCTGTGTCATGTTTTGAGTGTTGTGTCCCTAACCCCATTTCCCCATAGTCTGAGGTTTTAGTGCCAGTTTACTCAGCATGATGAGCTTCAGGCCCACGCTCCAGAGCCTCCGCAGGCGTAGAGACCTAAGGAACCAGAATTCCCGGAGGGATCTGGGACAAGGAGCCAAGATTAGCAAGACCTGAGTGTTTCTTACGGCACGTCTGGGGATTCCTGGCACGTCAGATGGTCCCAACCATTCACTCATTTTTTTCAAAGCCCTGAAAAAGGGACCTAAGGAACTATCCCATGGTACTGACACCTGATGGGCAGCACTGTCTGTGGGCCTTAGGAACGTCGTAGCGATGTAATGCTTTTCTGAGAAAATGTAAAAGGTAGACAGCCTCACACCTCGCGCGCGCTGGCACGGCTCCCCTCGGCGACCCGCATACACAGGTTGGACAGGAGGAATCCCTTGTTTGGAGAAGTTACACTTTCCCAAGCTCTCGCTTCCAGTGGCTCAGTGCCCCTTCCCCACCCGTCACCGACCCCGCAGCCCCCGCCGGCCTCACCTCTTTCTGGGCTACCTGGAAGGGGATGGCCTTGCGCATGTGCTGCCGAGTGATGCCGCTCCAGCGGGTGCGGTAGTCCACGACGGGCATCTCGGGCCGGATGTACTTGTCGTAGAGGACGTCGCCATGGTAACTCACCACGGAGCAGCGGGCCAGCTCGCTCACCCGCCCGCAGGGTCCGGTGCCCACCATCTCGCAGTCGATAGCCACGCATCTGCTAGGCCAGGGCCCCGCGGGCTCCCTGGGGGAGGGCTTTCTGCGGCACGGGGCACCTCCAGAGTCAGCCCTGGGGCCCTGCCCCCCGAGGCTGGCGCGGGCCTCGGTGCCTGGCGGTGCCTCCGGTGGCACGGGCGGTCGGGAGGATGCTGGCTCCGGGGTTGAGCTCCGCAGCCCCTGCTCCTGCAGCAAGGCCTTGCGGGCCATGAACCGCTGGTGCTGCCGGCTCTTCCGCTTGTGCTTTCTCCGAAGCACATCCTTGGCATTGGGGCCGGGCAGCAGGGGGCACAGGCACTGGGCAGGCTCCGGGGCTTCCCTGGACACCATCCCAATCTGCTCTCCACTCAGGGCGCGGGCGGCCTGGGAGGTAACCTTCCAATGGGGCAGCTCCCTGGAGAGAGAGCACAGGGCAGAGGGCCTGGGTGAGCATGGGCCAGCCTCCCTGACTCCTTCCCTCCTGCAGTAGCTCTTGGGCTGAACCGAGGACCTATTTTATTAAGAACTGCCCTCATGCAGTCAGTACCACATGCAAACCTTTCTAGGGAATCACTCAATCTTCCCACAACCTCAACCAAGTATGATTGTCCCCACCAGAGGCCCCGGTGCACGAGTTCCTGCACTGATGGGGGTCCAGCTGGCCTGCCCCAGTGAGGGCTGATGGGGCCTGGCCAGCAGTGGGGAGGGGGCACAGGAGGTTCGGTGAGCGCCTACCCACAAGCACCTTCCTCCTGGTGACAAGGCACACACTGGGCGGAGAGACACAGAACCCATCTCTCTGCCTCAGCCCAGCCCAGGGGACAAGGCCTGCTGCAAGTCCAGACCGAGGCTGGCCCCTGTGGGGCTGAGGGCGGAGGGCCTGCAGGGCAGGAGCTGAGGCGGCCCTGGGTCCCTGTCCCTGCAAGCAAGTTTCAAAGCCAGAAACAGTTCCCCGAGAACAGGGCTCCGCAGCGGTGTTTTTGGAGGTGAAGCAGCCAGCACCAAGTGGGTAATCAAGGGCACAGCCCCCTTCCTGGACCCAAGAGCTCAGCCAGACTGGGGAGAGGCTTAGCTCCATCAGCAGGGCCCTCAGGGGAAGGACAGCACGCATCCCTCCCCAGCCCCGATTTGGGGTTGGGTCAGCAGCCGCCAGGCCTCTCAGCAAAGGCCCCCACCAAGTCAGAATCGCCTGGGGGCATCAGGGCCACCCACCTGGGGGCCGATCCCCGAGCCGGTGGGCGGTTCCAGGCCCCACTACTACAAGCAAGGTGCACCCTCAAGCCGGGGTTTGCTTACGAAACAGATGAACTAGTTAGACACGTTCCCAAAGCAGCTGGTGGCCGGAAACAACGCCCAAGCCCAGACCTGGCCGGGCACCGTAACCGCCATTTGGAGGAAGGGGGGCCCCCCCCACCCGGGGATCTGGGAGCTTCCGAGCGCGCGACCCCACCCCCCAGCCAGGGTCCGACAATCGCCCGGATTTGGAGAACCTGCTGGATTGGACCCGAGATCCTAAAAAGTTCGCAGGACAAGGGAGTCCCGGGAGAGCCCGCCCCGTCCCCTCTGGCAGCCGGCGTGTTCCCCCCCTCCCCCCACACCCCGCCCCGGCCCCGGGAGTGACGCGGAGGCCTGGCCACGCCCAGGGAAGGGCTCGGGCGTCGGTCACTCCCGGGCCCGCGGCGGCCCAGCCCCCGCCAGGCCGCGGCCCATCGCCCACCGCCCATCGACCCCTTAGGCTCCAGCCCCCGAGCCGGGCGGGGACCCGGACAGGCGGCGCCCAGGCCCGGCCTCCCCCCCGCGGGCCCGGAGAGCCGGTCGGCCAGGTCGGCGGCCCCCTTCTCCCCCCCGCAGACCTGGGGTGGACACACGCGGGGCCCCACGGCGGGGACTCGCCCCGCCGGCCCCAGAGGGTCCCGCGATCACCTGGAGCCGGCGCTTCCCCCGCCCGCACGTGGCGTCCGGCAGCGACAGGTCCCACTTGCCCGGCAAGCCCCGCTCCGCCTGCCCGCCGATTGGCTCGCTGAACTGCAGCTCCCGCCTAAGGCCTCTTTTGATTGGCTCTCTGGGAGACCATGGCTCTCTGCGGATTGGCGCGAGACAGGAAAAGGGGCGTGGATTTATGGAGGGGCGTGGCTTGTGCCGCCGGCCGGCCGCGGCCGCGGGAAATTTTAAAAAGACCGGAGTGGAGTCGTTGCCCCTGGTCCTCGCCCATCTGGGTCCCCCGGCTCCAGTGCACCCCGCTCCCTGGGTCGGGACTTGGACTCCTATGAACATTGTGCAGGATAGGATGGCTTGCGGAGTCCACATTGCTACCTCCTCGGTTGTGGGCATTCAGTGAAATAATACACAGGATGGGCACTAAAGAAAGAGTTTGCTCTTTCGGCGCTATTTTTTTTTTTTTTTTAAGTTTATCCTTTTGCAGTACTTTACTCATGGTTCTTACTATGCCCTGAGCTCTGGGATACACAGAATAAAATACACAGTGCCTACCTAGTTGCTCAGATCTGGGGCGGTAACAACATGTTTAAAAGATAATTCAGTGCAACCCCGAAAATATTGAGAATAAAAAACAATTCACATTTATTGTGAACACTGTGTGCCAGGCAATATATGAGATATGCACTATTGTTATTTCCGGTGTACAGCTAAGGAAACTGACACTTGGGATTAAGGAGAGCCCTGGCCAGTGTGGCTCAGTTGGTTGGGCGCCGTCCCATGCACTGAAAGTTGCCAGTTCCATTCCTGGTCAGGGCGCATGCCTGGGTTGTGGGCTTTCATAGGGAGAGGGAAGGAATGGGGTGGGGGGTGTAGGCAGTGTTGTTGCTGGTTCCCACAAAGATCTTGGTGTCAGTATGTTGAATCCTTCTGCATCCGCCGAATTCCTGTGGTGGGTCACCTCTCTGGACAGGAACTGGAACTGCTGGTCCCTGCAATTCACTAAAATCGAGGTGTTTGTGTGGGTCAGAAGTCCGGTTCTATGCTCAGGGTTTCTCAATACTGAGATCAAGATATCCATGGCCTGCCCTGGCCCAGTACTTCAGTCGGTTAGAACATCATCCCAATATACCAAGATTGTGGGACAAGAATCAACCAATGAATGTATAAATAAGTAGAACAGCAAATCAACCTCTCTCTCTCTCTCTCTCTCTCTCTCTCTTCCTTTCCCTCCCTCCCTCCATCCCTCCCTCTCCCCTCTCTTCCTTCCCTTCTTCTTAAAGAAAAACTTCCCATGGCCAGCCTTTTCCCCCCAGAAACCTGGGGGCTTCTTCCAGGCTCAGTCATGCTATTGGCTGAATTCACTTTTTTAAAAAATATATATTTTATTGATTTTTTTTTTTTTTTTTTTTTTACAAAGAGGAGGAGAGAGGGATAGAGAGTTAGAAACATCGATGAGAGAAAAACATTGATCAGTTGCCTCCTGCACACCCACTACTGGGAATGTGCCCGCAACCAAGGTACATGCATCGAACCCGGGACCCTTCAGTCCACAGGCTGACGCTCTATCCACTGAGCCAAACGGGTTTCGGCCTGAGATTCTGATTTAACTGGTCTGGGTGGGCCCAGAATTTAGCGATAGTCAAGTTCGGATGATCCAGTTTGCTGCCAAGGTCAGGAAGCGCCTCTAAGGCGCAGTTACCTATACAGGCCACTAGAGGGAGCTGCTTCCCTGCTTTTTTGGGGGAGGCAGCTGTGATGGTGAAAAGATGACTGCTAGGTGAACCAGTTAATAATGTCTTTCTCATCGAAATCATCACTTTTAAAGCGTGTAAACCAGCGTTCACAAGGGTCTTGGGATGGAGCATGTTCACCATAAGCTTCCCGAAGTATACAATAACTTTCATCAGCACTTTTCTTCAGAATGATGAATTAAAACTTCCCGCAAATGCCCTTTTTTTGGCACGAAAGTCGACATCTTTCAGCGTAAAAATATCTACGGTGTTAACACCTTCAGAAAATTTGACATGGGACGTTTTGAAGCTTGTTGTCGATACAACAAAATAGCATACATATCGAATCGCGTATATACCAACATATGTGTAACTCCATCTATTGAAAAAAAAAGAATCCGCGTTATTAACCGGTACACCTGGTAGACCTGGTCCATCCACTTAAGGTGAGGGGTTACCAGGTGCCCTGACACCTGGTTTACCAACCCTTTTGTGTTCTGAGGATGTATATTTTGCTGATTGACCTAGTAAGCGGAATCTCTCTAAGCCTTGATTTCTGCATTTTTAAACCCGGGGGGAGAGACGGGCTTGGCCTACATACATGAAGTCTTGTGACATGCACAAGGTGCTGATGTGGACACGGAAAGGATAAGCCTTCCAATGGGATAAGACCCCGCTGTGACAGGGGAGGCGAATAGAGAGATGGTGGTTTTCATTCATTCCTACTTCATGGAAGGGTTGCCATGGGTGCCTCGAAGCTGTCAATCAGCTCAGTCACATCTCTGGGCCCGCCCCCTGAATTTCTGAAAATCACGGAAGAGGAGGCAGACGATTATTGGGTTTGTACACACGCCATTCCATATTATGACTCTCCTCTTAATTACCATAGCGACCAGCATGATCAATGTGATGCCGTCCATTTCACACATGAGGAACCTGTGGCTCAGAGAGGTTAGGTGACTGGCCCAAAGTTACACAGCCCGAGCCAGGACTGGAACCTAGGTGTGTCTGAGTTCAAAGCCAGGATTCCCTCTTCCCCAACTTGGCCTCCCCGGGAAGTGACCAGCTCCCTGTTTTACACCCCGGTTCATATCAAAAGGGGCTCTCTTATCCATCTCTCCGGTCAGGAATGCACCCCTGTTTCTTTCCCAGGCATGTCTCTGAGGCAGGATCTCTCCCCCTTTGTCTGGATGCTGAGGGCTGCCTGGGAGACATGGCCCTGCCCTCCTGCTCCCCTCCTGCTCCCTTCATGCTCATCCAGGCCCTTCTTCTCCCGGGAAGGGCAGACACCCGCTGACTCGCACCAATTTGCAGCCTCCTCAAGTGCGAATGAGATTTCTGATGGGACCAGCTGCCTCCCGGCTGCAGGCAGGGCCGGGAGCAAAGAGGACATGTGAGAGGCAGGAAAGGAGGAAGCAGAGGGCCCGTTTGCTGGAGCGGAAGGAGCCATGAGGCGGGGTCAGCAGCAGTGAAGGGCTGATTTGGCTCAGAGAGGTTGAGTGCCTGGCCAAAGGTCACACAGCGAGCAAGTGGTACCAGCTCAGCTCCAGGTTGCAGTTTTAGGGTTCCCGTAAGGAATACAACTCCCAAGCAAGTTAGATTTATAAAAGGTTTATTGTTCTTTTTTTCTTTTTTTTTTTGCATCTTTAACTTTTTGTATTTTATTGATTGATCGATGGATGC